TCACTCACTATTAATAATTGTTGCATGGCGTTGTTAACCGACTTAGGCGGACGTCACCAGGGTGGCTTCGGCGCCGGGCAGCGGATGATTAGGCATCAGCTGGGAGGGGGCGGCGGCGGAGGAGGATACCACGGGCAGTCGCAGGTAATGAGACGAGAGAGAGGGTGGGGGAGAGAGAGAGAGGTTTGGGATGCATGGGTATACTCCACCATTCACGATGCACAGGAACAAATATCCTGAAGTTGCAAGCTCCTCAATAAATGTTGAAACTACGTTTTGTGGCTTATTTGTTTTTTGCTGTTCGAGCAGGGGTATGGCCACCAGCAGGGCGGAAGAGGTGGCAGGGGGGGTTACCACGGGGGCTACGAGGACATGCATCACATGCACCAGCCCACGGGGAATCGACGCTGGGGCTCTCAGGAGCCGACCCCCAAGCGGAACAGGTGAATTTTATTTTTTTGTTGCTTACGTCATCATTTCTGGTTGTTGTTGTTGTTGTTGTTGTTGTCTTGGCAATCCCCTTCGCAACAGAGCCAGTCCCCTTCCCGAAGATTCATGCTAGACCGACTTATCTCGGTGGGCTGGGTCCACCAACTGGCCGGTTGTGTCCACACGGTTCTCCTCTTTTTCGTTAAACCCCTCTGCCCAGACAAGCCTTCTTTCTTGAAAATGACGTGTGGTTTGTCGGTTGGTCGTCCGCTTGCCTACCCCATCTGCTGATCGCGTCTCATTTCTCTCTCCAACCCCAGCGGGCGGGGAGGGCGCAACGGAGGAAACCAGGGCCGTAATCACCAGGGGCGCAACAACCAGGGGCGTCAGCAGCACCAACGCCAGCACCAGCCGCACTATCAGCACCAGCAGCAGGCGCCGCCTCCCCAGGTATTCGTGTGTGCCAGGCTTGCTGAGCCTGACACTTCTAGGTCATGGAAAGTACGGAGCGTTGTTTGGGGGTATTCTGTGTTGGCCTTCTTCCGGTGTGACCCCGATCGGTGCGTCCAGCATTAATTGTACCTTAACGTGTGTACAACCGACGCCGGTAACGAACGGCATGGCAGGTTAAAAGATATATATCCCCCCTTCAGGCAGTCAGTCGGACTATTATACTGCTGTATCATGGAACTCTCCCCGACAACACGGATGAGGTGTCGGGTCGCGCACTGCTGACTCTGGGTTCCATGGTCCGAGGGTGTCTGTCTTGCCAAGGTTTGGCGCACCGGACCCTTGCGTCTGTTTAGGCTCTAAAGCCTGAACCAGAAACGTTCAAAGTTATCGCCGAAGTATGTCACACCACCTTCCATGCCGTGCACATGGCGATGTTTGACTCCAAACGCGTCACCTAGTATTTCTCCGATCGATAAGAGCTGCTTTTGTTTTTTTCAGCCTTCGTATACACCGTATCGGTAGTGTTTTTCTCTCTTGTGTTTTTAACGGCCAGCTGTCACAACGTTATTCCTTCGCCAAAAACTCCGTCTTTCACGGTGACCCCTCATGTCAGGGGTACTACGGGCAGACAGCACCGCCGCTGGTCGCGGCCCCCCCGCAGCAGCAGCAGCAACAGCCGGTATTCTACGGGCAGCAACCGCCGCAGGCGGCGCCGGTGTACTACCAGCAGCCGGCACCCGTGGTGTCTACGGTGGCGCCTACCGCGTACTACGTGACTGCTCCCCAGCAAGCACCCCAGCCTGTGGTGAGCTGCTGCTGCCATGTTGTTGTTGCATCTTGCCTGCTGTTGCTGTTGTTGTTGTTGTTGTTGTTGTTGTAGCTTCTTGCTTGTCGTTGTCGTTGTTTTGTTTTTTCTGCGCTGTTTGGTGAAGCTACTTGTTTCTGTTGGCGCTGTGGAGGTAAGAGTTCCTGGAACCGCGTGCGACACAGAGAAACGGATCGCGGAGGGGAGAGCCGCCGTCTATTCTCAATACATCAATACGGTGGTGTCGGTGTTTCACAGCAGCAGCAGCGTGTCGTCTCTCCTAGCCACAACGTAGCAACAGACGGGGTCTTAGCCGTTGATGAAACCTTGAAGATCGACCAAGATGAGATTTGTGAGTGTGTGCATTCAATACACGTGCGACGGATCCTTGCATGTAGTAATCCCGAATCCCGCATGCGTTCAACGTGGGTGACGTCTTGTCATGAGCAGCTTCTCACGCCTTTGTTGATGATTACCTCCATTTGCCTTGGTCACAAGCTTGGAAAATGTTGTGCTCTTCACCCCCAACGCAGAGACCACTAACCATAGGGCGTTTTTTTTTCTTTGGTGTGCATGCCCTGGCCGGTTGCTGCGACAGGCTGCCCACAGCTTCCAACACCCGGGGTATGTGCAGCAGCAGCCGCAGCTGCTTCAACAGCCGCTACAGCAGCCTCCGCCGCAACAGCAGCAGCAGCAGGTCCCTCCAGGGGCAGCGGGCTTCCCCACGATGGACTCGCTGCGCTCGAAGCTCGCCAACGCGCTCCTGCAGACGAAGGCACCCACAACGGCTGCGCCCCAGGTATGTAGGCCAACACTGCCCCGCGTTTCTTGTCGCCTGAGGCACATTTGTGGTGCTTGCAATGTTTTTTTTTTGCACGTTTGTCTGTTCATTCGGAAGCACGCTACATGAACTTGTAAATACTCCATTGTTGTATTGTACGGATGTATTGTTTTCGTTTTTCGTTTTTTTATTTAGTATATTGAGAGTTTTTGTTCAGTTTAGAGGACGCCACGCACCAAGTTGTTTTGTTATCCCCGGTGAGGCGGCCGGTTAATATGCTGTCTCTGTCTCTGTCTCTTTCTCTCTCTCTCTCTCTCTCTCTCTCTCTCTCTCTCTCTCTCTCTCCAAGATGATATCGTTATGTCGAACCTTTTGAACCTATTTCGGTAGCCCAATGTTTTGTTTTTTTTTACGTTTTGACTCTGTCTCGGTGGTGAGCGGTTTTTCTCGACCAGAACCCTCTTCGACGTGGCGAAGGTATCCCCCCACCAATCAAATCCCGGAGGTGCTGTCACCGTTCCTACCGTACATAAATGCTGATAATTCTTTGTTTTGTCGTGGGAGCTGTGGGTTTTTCTTTCAAGCGCAGTCCTATTGCGTGCGGCCATGCATCTCGCCTACACCAACTTTGGCGTAAGGGGGTGTTGACACAGAGGTTGATGCTCCACTTTTTTTTTTTTTTCCTCGCTGCTTGACTCCCCCATCTTTGCCTACGCCTCCGGGCCTTGCTCGCACCGGTCTGTTGGAGCCCAAGGCTAATCAACTAATCAAGTTTCCCTTTCCACGATTGCCCGCTCTAATAACCAGGGGGCGTTCTACGCGTACCCCCCTCAGCAGGGGGCGCCCATCCCCCAGCAGCCGCACGCCGGAGCAGCTGTCCCAGTAACACAGCCTGCGGCAGCCGCAGGCACCGGATACCCGGGCCAAAACATCCGATACGATGAGAAGGGAAACCTCACCTGGGGAGGAGCTCCGTGGACCGGAGGTCCGCCTCGCTAGCGCGATGGGGGGGTGCCCGCACCTGTTGGGTGTTAGCGTGTTAGCCGCGCGCGTTTGCCGTGCAGGCGGCGTTGATTCGAGTGAGTCTTGGTTGTTCCCGAGGGAAGTGTTTGGCCTTGGGGGAGTTTTGTTTTGTTCAAGTAGGGGTCTGAGTTGAAGGGCAACGCGTCCTGGCGTGTACCCGAAGGAGTATTTTATTCTGACGGCAGTGTTTGACGGCCGTGTTGATTGAATTCCTCTCACCCTTTGGAGCTGTAGTAGGCCAGTAGGGAGGCAGCGGGTGAGAGAAGCGCACCTTGTGGTAGAGATACCTGGCGAGCAAAATATGGTCTGATTCCTTGGCCTGGAGGGGTGAGCTGGGGAGTTTGATCGAGTGCCGCCACAAGCCCATCCACGCCATGCTTACATCCCCCTTGCGGTGGAGCCTCCGAAACGCAACTCGTAGATCCCCCATACACAGCAGCCAAGCCCGAGGCAATTGGCGCTTGCGGCGATTTTCGGTTGGCATAACTCGCGTCCTCCCGTGTAGGTATGCATGCGCTTCGTCATTGCGCACACGGCGGGGAGCCTCTCAAGTACAAATAAAGTAAATTACAGGAAATTCGTGTCTGTTGCCGTTTTTGTCCGTTCGAGAAGGCCGTTGGACTTGCGGGGAAGACCGTTGAAATTGGCGGGGTATTTTTTTTATCAAGGGAAAGGTTTCCACCTAATGCTAACTAACTGTTTTGTGGCGGCGGGTGGCTGTCGCGCTGTTGTCCTTTGGGTGGCGCATCGTGGCTCTCCACACACTTTGTGGTGTGTTGGGTCGTGCACACCTGCTTACAGCACCATCCTTCCGCTTGGTTTGGACCCCAGCGCCAGCTCTATCGGAATGGACGGTGGGACGGTGGGGGAGTGTGTTTGTCCTCTCGCGGTGTCCCATTGAAGAGCACACTGTCGATTGTCCTAGGGGAAATCGAACCTGCTGATGAAGTCCATGCACACACACACGTGTGCGTCGGATAACAGGAAGAGGTAGTAAACTCCCTCAAGCAAGGGTAGCGTGAGTGTGGTTTTTCTTGCGCTTGCGGGGCCGTCCCCGCCCAACAACCAAACCGACTGTCTCCCAGTCCCTCAACGGGTGGCCAGAGGCAGGCTGTGCGTAGGTTGGGGCACCAACTACAACCTGGGGGGGAGGTTGTAGGGAGGTTGCAGCCCAAAGCGTGCAAGTTATCCCGCATCTTGGATAGTGGCGTTATTGCAATCAACACGGTGGGCTGCGGCTGCAAGCCTGAAGAAAAATTGGATTCAAGGTCGAACTCGTCCTCCCAACCTCCCCCCCCCCCAGGTTGTAGTTCGCGCCCAACCTGCCCCTCTGGCCACCAGTGTCGGTTTTGTGGAGCAACATCTAGCGGCAAATGTTTTCTCTCTTTCTTTGGGTGGATGCTTATCGCACGCGTGTTGATGTTTTGGCTTCTGCGAACGTTGTTTTTGCCGTTGTTTTATGCGCGGCTGGAGGGCCTTCACCCATGAATGCGGAAGCCACACTATGAATATTCTGTGAACAAGGCGCCACCCAAACAGCGCGTGTCTAGAATCTCCCGCCTATAAATTATTGATTGGCCAATTTCGGACGCTACCAATCGCTGTTAATTTTCCTGAGACGTAGTGTGCGGGGTTGCTTGTACGGACATTGACTAGAAACCAAGTGCTATGTAGAACGCATGTGAACGAGTCGTGCTGTAGGTTCACGAGCGACCAAGTCTTGATCGATATTTTATTGTCGAGAATTTCACTTATTAAAATTAACACTCCCAAATAGAGCATCTCATCCGTTCAATCTGGGCATTATACTCGAATGGGCAATCGTTCCGTAATTCCATGTACGTGCATAGTCTACATTTATTTTCTACTTACTTATCTCGGCGATGGATCATATGTAATCCTGTTGCTGGTACAGAATGCAGCAAGCCGGTAGCTCAGGTGACAATATGAACGTTTTCTTCGCGGCACTGGCCTGTCAACTTTTCGTAGATAGATGTACGTCGGGCCGGTAGGACCATATTTATTTATTTTCACCTCTTCAACTTCTGATGGCCAAAACTCTGGCTCGGCTGACGCTGCTGGTTGCTGGCGAGTGACTGCACCACTTCGCACAAGGATGTCGTGTGGGGACACACCACGCAAGCAGAAAAGGCAAGCAAGGTAAAAACCGCACAGAAAAGCAGAAAGTATAGGTAATAGCAACTGGCCTCGTCTTGGCACTCTTACTCAGCACGCAAAACAAAAGAGTGAAACCGTCACAGGATTGGCACGCGGGGAAACTGCTAAATATACTGTCTGGGTGCTCCCCCCCACGCCGAACCCACCGAATCTTGCCGAACCCAAGTTGCCGAACCCCTGTCTCAGCCGCCGATGGCACTCTCGTGTGGTTGCTCGGGCACGCACACGGCACACACTTGACGGCGGAGTCTCCCGGTGCTGCACATCACTTTCTGACTTCTTCCTACACTTTCAGCATCGCGAGCGACGACCTGGCAGTAGGTGGCGGAACAAATCGTACCGTACTCCGCGCGTGCTCTGCGGACGCGGCCAAAAGCAATAGGAGCAGCAGCAGTAGCAGTAGCAAGGGGAACAGCAGGGGAGTGAGTGCTGTCCACGTTCATTGCCTGGGAGGACCCGCGGGCGGAACCATCTGGCTGCTTCACAGCAGGTAGGTAACTCTGCACGCTGTAAGTGGCAAGGCGACTGCGCACCACGAATCATCTGTGTTCCAAAGCAGGACAATTTTTTTGGATACCACCAAGTACTCTAAACGCGTAGACTATGTAGCCTACCCGAGGACCCGATAAGTGTGGTCCTCAACGTACGCGCGTATGCATACAGCAGTAACAAGTACCGGCACAGGCGCACCGGCGCGCGCGCAACACTAACAGGAGATCTATTTACACTCTGTTATTATAGTGACTCTTTAGGTCTAACCGATGTTGCACTTTTCAAGGCTTCGGTTCCTCACTCGAGCAAGGCTAAATAGGTTCCTCACCCCACATCTACCCTAACCCTCGCCCACGACCAAAGCACGGCCTAGGGGCCGCAAACTGGCCGAGAACGCGGCTGCGCCGCGTTCTCGAAATGCGGAACGGCGAGAGGGCGCTGGAGAGGGTCAAGGCTAGGAACCAACGCCGGACCAATCAGAGGGCGTGAAACCGCTTGAGTAGATTGGAAGAGTCACCAACAGGTTCCAAAAATTACTGACTAGCAGCCACGGATGGATACGGTGGGCAAAACATGATACGTTGAACCACACAGCCAAGGACAGCTCGACTACCATTAGTTGCTGCAGAATCGATCAAGAGCAGGTATTGTGACGGCGCACGCGTGTGTGGCGCTCGCGCGTGTTGTTGTTGTTGTTGTTGTTGTTGTTGCTAACCGGTGACCATTGAAAAAAAATAGACTCAGTGCGGTTGAAACTCAAAACACTAATACCAAGTGCCGTGAACTGCGACCCCGTGAGGGCTGAGGGGGTGGCATGAGGGAGTCTAAGCTATTCTCCGAAATAAAGATAGAAACGGTCCCAGCAGAAGAAAAAAACTGGACGTGTGTATCAAGGCTGCTGCCTTGCACTCGAGTTCGTTTTGAGTGCCTTCACCATCATCATCCTCCTTGCTTCACCACCATCAACTCTCATCATCGTTTTTACAGCTGTTTTTCGGCAGTTCTTCTCTAGCCCTGCGTCATTTGTTGTGGGGAAGGCCATCTGGCTCGAAGCTCTTGCTCTCTTCCACTCCATGCTGCCATTGTGTTCCAGTTCTACAGTAGTACGCAAGGAAGCAAGTACAAGATGCCAAACACACTTAGCATGATGCAGCGCACCCTTCATGTGACACGCCGAATATCCCACGGCGCTTCGCGCTTGGTGATATGAAAGCCTGGTCCGGTGAGAACCCGGCCTGCTCCGTCCTGGCTTTGTAGGGATGCGAGGTCAATGGTCTAACGACATCGGCATGCACGACTATTATGAGTACAAAACCCCTCCCGTCTAGTAGAAAAGCTCAAGCATCATGATATCGTACAGAACGTGCCTTGAAAAACCTACCTGCAGAAATCTGAAACACTGTTACCGTTTCAGCCTCTCGTTGCACGGCAACCTTAGAGTGTCGCTGGCACCTTTCACAGTGTCCCGTGGACGGAATGTCAACTGGTGGGCCCGGGTCGCCCACGTTGTTGCTGATCGCTTCCTTTTCTTCTGGGTTGGTCCCCTGGCATGCAGTCAAATTTCCTCGACCCGTTCTGGGTTTGCGCTACGTGGCAGTCTCTATCACGCCTGTAATATAGTAATATTTACGCCCACCCTTCAGTACTGATAGCATGCAGCACACGCCTTTCATCCTCCATTTACTCTCTGTTCTGGCTGTCCCCCCGTTGAACCGATTTTCATTGGCGGTTGGAGCGGAAAATTATCGAACGAAATCTTGAAAGTCGCGATCGTCTTGTATACCGGTCACCATCATATCCTACGCCATTGTGGCACACGAGGATGGCCACGTTACTCGAACGTACTACGTACGAAGGAAGTACTTTGAGACGATCGTGACGTTCAAGATTTCGTTCGAAATTTTTCCATTCCAACCGCTAACGAAAACCGGCTCAACGGGGGGGGGAGAGTAGACAGTCACACCAGAGAGAGCCCTATCCTCCACCATGAGACAGTAATCAAGCAAGGTAGATACCCTTTACTTTAGCTTGATATCCGCTGGCTAGAGATCATATGTTGTTCGGTGAGCTCGGGGTTAATTCATGGATGGGTGATAAACATCTTCAATATCTAAGGACAACGGCAGCCAATTCTAGCTAGACAATGATGCATCCGACACTGATCTTGACTGGGTATACATTGGCATTCAGTCTTAGTTGTTCACAACTGGCTGCGGTTCCTTCCTTGGTTCAGGGTCGCGACAAGAGTCGCGTGTTGTGGCGGAGTCATGGGGGTTCCGCAGTTGATTGAGGCATATGAGACATTCTCTAGCCCTATGTGACTAAATCATAGTATTTGAGCACGCGTTCTGCTGCCATGACGATGCGCCAACCCTAGATTTTGTTCCGTTTTATCGTCGAATGTGTCAACAAAGGAGAGGTCATCACCACTCCTTTGCTATTCTTAGCCCGCCTCGCAATCTCTGGCTTCCGGTGCAACATGCAGGCGTCTTCGGCTGGGGAGCTACGACAAAACCGAGGGGCCATGCCTGCGTCTGAAGTGGCTGCACGAGAGTTGGCGCTCCTGCAGAAGGTAGAGACTGGTGACGCTCGGCGCGTCGAGCAGCTGCTTCGCGCTGGCGCAAATGTTGACGGACCTGCCAGACCTACGGTGGAAAATGAACGGCCGCTGCTGTGTGCTGTCAACACCGGTAGGGCAAGCATGATCGAGTGCCTTCTCAACAACGGCGCTGACGTCAATGCTGCCTCGCCGCTCATGCTACACCAGGGAGAGGACGGGAGAATGTCTCTCTGTCAAGGGGTTCGAGCTATTCATGTCGCCGTGATTCACCACGACCGAAAGTGCCTCAAGGTACTTATTGACGCAGGAGCAAACCTCGACGTTACGTATTCTGGGGGCGTCACACCTCTCATGGCCGCTTGCAAGATGAGGGTCGAGGAGCACGGCATAGAAATGGTGAAAGAGGTTATCGAAGCCGGCGCGAATCCTCTTATCCAGGACAACAAACGCTGGGCCTGCTTGTGGTACGCGATCAATCTCGGACGGATTCGTACCATTCAAACAATCTTATCTGTGGCGCCGACAACAGTCAACCAGGTAGCCCCGGACGGTTCGACGCCCCTCTACATGGCGTCAGGGTTTGGCCAGTACGAGGCAGTGTCCCTGCTTCTGTCGGCTGGTGCTAAGCAAACTCGCTTGTCCTTCGAGAAGGGCAAGTGTCCGCTGGACGTTGCCGTCAGACAGAACCGCACAGACGTAGTGCGCGTGCTACTCAGCGACGGGCTGCATGCCATCGGCGGCTCGCTCGTGCTTCCCCAAGCTACAAGCTATCTGCGACGCCGTGAGGAATCCGACGGGGGTGAGAAAAATGGTTCGCATGCTGCTGGCCGCGGAGGGAGACGCAAGGCAGCGGTATTGGGCGAGGAGCTGATTCCAGCTCACCCCTTTGCTTGGCTGGGCCGCGGCATGTAGCTCGTACGCAGCGGTGTCCGTACTTCTAGCCGCCGGCGCGAACGAGTCTGTTCCACACGACTATGGGCCAAAGCCAGACAGCATTATTGGACTGCACCTGGGCACCTGTGAAAGAAACGCACGAAATGAATCGGCCATTCGCCGAGCTCTGAAGCGAGGGCCGGCGTTTCGTGCCAGGTCTTGGGCGTGGCCAACCCCAGGCTCCACCGGTGCGCTGATGGTCCCCTCACCCAGCGGGACGACATCAACGACGTTGCCACGCGTGCGTACCTACCGAGCGGAGGGCCGTAAGCGATTCACCGGCGCCATGTGCAGGTATTTAGGGATGGGTTGCACCGATCTCTGTTCGATATGCGACAGAGGTCGTCGTACTTACTGCATGCAGGTTACGTTTTGGGAAGGACGTCGACCCGACTTCGCGCGGATGCTTTTTGTGCCGTTGCTCTCGTTGCGACAACCTGCCGTTGGGGGACGTGTGTGATGTGGGGATAGAGGTGCAGAAAGATAGGGTTAGAAAACTTGCCGTGGTGACGACGCTGTGTAGCGAACCAAGACTGGCGTATTCGTAGCACCAGCGTTCGTTCTAGACTCGTTTCGGCACCATCCATTAGCCACGACGCTTTTTTGGGCTGTGTCGGCGTGCCGCATGACTGACTCCTCTTCTCCCAACGTTCTCCACCTTTTCCTGTTCATGTCAGGCACGCGAAGAAGAGTCGAGATATTTTGGTGGGGCTCGGAGCGCTTGCCACGCGCTGAAGGGTGCTGCAACAGCAGCGGCGTAGTCCATGCGCTTTGGACATCCCGGCGGCGCAGCATTTTGCCTTGCGCGGGAATGAACACTCGCTATTATTTCCGTGGACCTATTTGAATGCAAAACAGGCCGGAAGATGTGCGTCTGAGACTTCAACATTGGGTACCAAGGGGCGTTCTATAGATGGATGTTTTTAGCATTTTGTCTGCCGAACTACACCACTATGGAGTGACTAACGGATGTTTCTGCCGGAAAGTGGCCTGGGAAAACAACGTAGTTGTCGAAGAGGCAAGAAAGCGAGGATGGCCGGACTTCTGTCGTGATTGTAGCTTCTTGCAGTTTTGTAGTTGAGATGCCAAAGGCTGGGTATTGTGTCGACCTTTATAACTTTCGAACGGCTGAGAATGGTCTAACCTCATCCCCCCTGCTGCCCGCGCAGAGGAAGGATTCATTTGTCAGGCTGGTGCGTTTGCCCGCAGGTGTTCTGAATGATATGCATGTGAGATGGGTTCGGGATACGTACGTAGTAGCTGAAGCTTCTTGGTGTTGTTGACGTTATGTGAGGCCGTTTCGGAACGTTCACGCGGCAAATTCAAAGTAGTGGAGAGGCAGAAACCCGCGCAAGCAGTTGTTGCTAGAGTCTTACAACTTTTCGTTGGTACAATGTAGTATGGAGAGGCCAAAGCCTCAAAGGACAACCAAATTAATTGCTGCATGCAGTGACAGGCTACCAGGGCTAGCTATGCGCAGGTTTTTAAGCGAGCCAAAGCATGGCGGATGCGTGACTGGCGTGATAAAATATAAACAATCGCAGTCTGCCGATAAAGGGAAGAAAGGGTTTTGTTAAGCTTGGTAGCTTGCTTGTTGATGTTCAAAGTGTTTGGTAGTAATCCTAAGACCGTAATGCACCGTGCGTGATGCGTCGGTGGTGTTAGTTTGTGCGAAAGTAGATGGATGGGTGATCTGGCAAGTGAGTAACAGTACTGGATTAATGAATGAGTGTGTTTCTGTTTCCAAAACAGGATATTACAGAGGACGTGATCCCTAATCTGATTCGAACTAACGGTTGGTTGTGTTGGTTTGCATTATTGTTGTTACTGAATCCCGCCATGAGATGTTTCATGTCGCCTCGTGGTGCACCCTATGGGGAGTCCTTGAACAAATTCAGATGAGGTTTCCCTTGGGGCGGTATGGTATGCCATGGAAATGATCGTGGTGCACCATGAATGAGATCATTTTTTTTCACGGAGGTAATGGAACCTGACTCATGGAGCCTCGTGGAGCCTCGGGCATGCCGCCTAAGGTGCTCCATGGAACGTGTTTTTTTCTAGGCCCAACTCGGTTGGACCCAATAGCCGGTCGCCCCGGTGATCTAGTTGTGGTAACCTCGAAACCTTCTAGAGGTCAGGTCAGGGCTTCGAATCCCGGCGTAAGCGAGCTTTTCTCGCAAAGTGAGTTTTTCTCTCGCTTCCGCTCCTGGCCTAGTGGATAGCGCTAGTTCGTGTGTACACAGAGGGAAGGGAGTGTTGAACTATTCTCGCATTAAAAATCGAAGGCAGTACCGCAGGAGGGGAGGGTAGAGAGGGGCTCTTCTATGTGACCACGGGTTGGAGTAAACGGCACTAGTGCTGTGAGCGCTGATTTGAAGTAAAGACAAAAAAAAAACAAAAACACAACGTTACCGTATAAAGCAGAGAGATGGCACCCCCTCCTTACACCGATTGATTGTGGAAGCGGGATAACTCCAATACCAAGCAAGTTTGTGCCAACACCAAAAAAGTCTAACCATACCGTGGGCTTTCGGTAGGAGTATCGGGCTCTTTCCGCACCAACTTGGTTGTGGAGGAATGGAGCTCTCAATGTCGGCCTAGAGAGGGTGCTATCTCTACCCACCTGTCGGTATTGTAGGAATGCTACCCATGGGTGTATCGACCTCTAGGATTTCCTCTTTCCGGTTTGCACGTGCTTCTCTATGGTGCGCCCAATTATATTTAGGTGCCGTCGTTTTTTACTGATTCGTGTCGTTCTTTGGCTCCCGGACGGGATAATCTAACGGGCACAATAACCCGAGAGTAGGTGAGCCGTGCCGAGAGCTACACGCTCTGGATCGCCGGCATACTGCCCCGGGAATCAGGGTGTTTTGGTTCTCTCTCGTGATATCCTCGTGTCTTCTTCTTGCATTAAAAGTCGAAGCCAGAGTACCGCAGGAGGGGAGGGTAGAGGGGGGCTCTTCTGTGTCACCACGGGTTGGAGTAAACGGCACTAGTTCTGTGAGCGCTGATGTGAAGTGAAGACAAAAAAAAACAAAAATGATCATCGCGCCTACAAGTACTGTACTGTAGTACCAGCCGACCAATGAATACCATCGCGTCGTCAGACAGTTCGGCGGGATTAAAGACAAACGCCAACTCTACCGAGACAGGGAGAGTGCAGGAGCTCGATGACACAGCAGTGCCCTACTTCTGGAGTAGAAGACTCAATGTGTGTGTCCTTCCTCCCCTCTCTTCGGCCGCGAGCTCGCCGCCGATACACCACCACACCACCACACATCGACCGGAAAATATCTCAATCATGCTGAACCAGTCTCGCGTTCAAAGTGTTACCCGAATCTCGCATATTGTGTAGACATGTCTAGGTAAATTGCTCCAAAAGGGTTCGGGTTTCTTCCAGTGATTGATTGTTTTTCGGACGGGCAAAGTTGATGGTTGGTATCCAATGGTTCGAGGGGAAGATAATTGTTTTGTGTAATTGTGTGTTACTTACTGGGAAAGGAATCGGCTAAAATGGTTGGTGAAACCAATGAAACGGTCAATTTTCTCGTTACATCGGGGTAATTTTCAAAATCAGGATACACTTCTGGAGATAGAAGTAGCCACGTCCCTTACCCCACCCTTTTCACGACGCGGCGGGGTGAAAGTGGGGCTTTACCAATCATCTGGGTTCATTTCACGCTGTTGAATACTCCTATTATGTACTGTAGTACCCGGCAGAGTCGCTTTTCTACCACAGGGTAGTCTAACCCTTCGCGTCCAATGGTTCGAAAGCCACACCTGGGCCTTCGGCCCGTGGTGAGCTTTCCCAACCTTCCGTAAAAAAAGTGCGGGGTCGCATCAGCGCCCCCCTTGAAGAGGACGCTGCTTAGTACCGTACATGTGATCAGAAGCTCAGAAGGCTCAGCCGTATAACGCACGCACCATTTTTATCTCTGACTGACTGCGAACCTGCATCGACGATATGCCTTGCTGTTGGCGTGTGTGTGTACATACGCAGCAGTAGTTGAGGATCACGACCATGTGTTGTGGAACTCTCCTGTCCGACCACCGACAGGAGGGAGGGATAGGTGATTGTTTATTCCGTTCTTCTTGTCTTTCCCTTGGTTGACCCTTTCTCAGGCCACTTCGCACAGATCCCAAGCACACACAATCACCCGATCGTCTGCACTGAACAGAAAAGGGCACATGCCCCGGGCATTTTTTTTTTATTGTCTTATCAGTTGCTTGACTTCAATATTATTAATAGTATCTACTTGTACATCCATCCGTGCTCACAGCACAGCATTTTTTTTGTGCCTTTTGCTCCAACCCGTCCGTGGTCACACAGAAGGGCTCCCCTCCCTGCGGCCCCCTACCCACCCCTCCCTCCTGCGGTGTTTTGATTGCGAGAGGAGTGCAGCACTCCCTTCCCTCAGTGTACACTCGAACCAATTGATATTTAGCGCTGTCCACTCAGCAGCCAGGCCAGAACGGAAGCGAGAGAGAAAAACTCGCGAGAGAAAAACTCACTTCTGGTATGTATGTATCTAGTCAGAAGAAGAGCTCGCGCATTGCAGTAGGGAATGACGCCCTAAATAATCTAATAATGTTGCTGACATCACGTCATAGAATCTGACGACGCCAAATAACCATGGTCAACCAAGATCACATTGACATGTCTACCTCCAAATAAATACGATAACAACATATGTATACATGTAATACATACGTGTGTCAATAATTAGTTGCTCACTCCTGATCCCCAAGGTACGTACATGTTGTAGTCTATGCATCCAAAAGAAGAATGATACTTCCATTTCCCCCCCCCGTACGCGAGACCGCCCCCCCGCCGGGTATTGGGGCGGGTGGGCCAAAGCCGCTTGATTTTTAGACAACCATCGTCTCGACGAAAAGACAACGGAGGAGATCTTCGTAATGTATGATACAGCAGTTTGTCCGTGGACCACCACGGCGCACCCACATGATGAAAACACCGCGGACCCGAGAGAAACTTCGCCGTAATTTCTACACGCAAGGCACGGTAGGGGTACCAGAGGTGGTAGATACACCTGTTGCAGCAGCAAGGTTGGACAGGCCATACTTGTACGTACAGCGCGAGGTAATGACTGAAGCCAACCCCATTGGAATCGCTCACGTCCCGCGACACTCGCGAGCGCTGGGTGGCCGGTCGTACGGAGGAAGGCACGGCCAGCGCCCCAACCAGTACGCTTCGATCGGTCGAGAGACGGCGGCTGCGGCGGTAGGAGACGACGAGGCGCGGCGAGAAACCATGAACAGAAGCTCGTCTCGGCGGGGACTGGCAGCTATTGCCGTGTGTGTTGGCTTCGTCGCCGCGGTCACCCTTTTCTCCAGGGTCGACCCACAGCAGTCGACAGGAAGCTCGTACCGCGGGGTGCTGAAGGTAGGCTGGAAGGACGCGATCTATATGGTAGACTAAATAGAAGGACTTTGCACTAGTCATCTACTTACCTACAGCTGTAATTCATTCATTCATCAAATGTTCGGAAAGATCACGGTATTGTCCAACTACTGCTGTTCAACATAGTCTGTATGCATTTACCGATTACCGTGGTACATCGCACTTACACTTGTTGTGCACGCGAGAGATCCTGGATTTCAATGAAAGTTTCATGCATTGATAACTCTCCTTGCTCGTACCTTTCGGAGGCTGAGATCCCCCAAAAAACGATGCAGCGGTGTAGATACGTACAGCAGTAGTGTAGATACCCGCCCAGCACTCTCGATTGCCCGCCATCACGGCTTGCGAGAAGTACATACTGTAGCTCGGATGTATGCGCCATGGCCCAAAGAACGCAAAGTGTGTGCTACATGTAAGACAGACACACACACAAGACACAAGTGGCGCAAATTACAGGAATCATATTGGGGTCGTGAGTGGTAGACTGAATTGCCGTGGTTTGTAGGCGGTGCTCATGCCATGTCCAATTGCCGATAGGTAGGTGTAGACTGGCATCTGGGCAGCATGAGCCTAAAACACACCAACCATCGTAGCTTGTCATGGTTCGTCTTTTCAGTTGTTGTGCGTTTCTCTGTTGCTTTTTCGAGCGTGTTGTTGGTTGCGGTTGTTCTCTTGATGGTACAAAGTACAAATCGTCCCGGAAATCCGATCTGTGCAGTTCCTCTTCTTGCTTGCTCTTCAAGGCGAAGAAACGAATCGCTGTCGCCACAAGTTGACCTACAAGAAAACGTACGACGAAGAGCAACTTTTGTATATTCAGGTGGCGCAGAGGATTCGCTCTGTTGACGATACCCCTTGTCGCGTTTCTGGTGTACACGACATTGGCTAGAAGTTGACAATGATCCCCTAACACTAACAAGAGCAACGAATCAATGTCACCGTCACCAAGTCCCAACGCCAGGTCCCAACGCCAACATCAACACTACTTCCGAAAACGCTAACATTGCTGAGACAACCACGGCCACAACTACCGCAACAACACCATCAACAATGACTACACCACACCACCTAGACTACGTGATCAACAACAAACAACCGAAACCAACGCCACGGACGAAAAAACAGCTAATAACATACGTCGCTCGTCGTCGCCGCACGCTAGCTTGACAAGGAAGGCCGCAGCGTCAGGGGCGGCTCCTCGAGCGGGCTGACCCTCGTGGCTACCAACGAGTACGGCGAGTACGACCGGGGAGCGCTGGCGCTGTATGGGTTTGACATGCTGGTGGAACCCTACAAGAAGACCACGATCTCAGTGACCGGTCCTGCGTCCTCGTCGGGAAGCATCTCGTATTCGTGGCTGCTCGTGCGCGAGGACGACGACGAGCCCGAGGCGGTCGAACTTGAGGTCGTCGAGCAGGACGACACCCCCAGCGGCTCGTCGGTCAAGGTCACGCTCACCGAGGCGGGGGCGACCTACGCGTTGCACGTGCAGCAGCAGCAGCTCGCTCCGGAAGGCGGCGGCGACGCCTCGGTCGCGGTCGTAGTCTCGGAGAAGACGATACAGGTGGCCTGCAAGCACGTGCGGCGGGAGCTCCGGGACCTGACCTCCGCGGACAGGACGGCGTTCTTCTCGGCCATGCGGGAGTTCTACACGGTCAACCTGGAGGCCGGCAAGGAGAAGTACGGGAAGACGTTCGCCAATTCCAAGATAATTAGTACCTACCACAACACGCGGGTAAGTGCGGGGGGAAACACCATCCGTTCAGCGCAGCAGGCTTTGGTGCATGATTCACGTTCTGGAATGCAAACAGGGTTATCCTTGGAACATCCACGGCTTTAGGTTAGCACGATTGGTTTTCCGAGCGGACACAGGAGTAGCGGGATTACAGCTCGTAACCGGAAGAATAAACTCGGACATGTTGCTCACGGACCGTGTTGGCGCTACCGTATCCTGTCCCAAATAACCGCTATTTTGTGCTCTTACGATGAACTGAGTCTGTTGAACGGCCGCTTGCCTTCGCTCTCCAGTTGATTTTTTTTTCCTTCCGTTATCGCCCTTTTTCAGAACTACTGTTTCCACTCGGGGATGCACTTCCTCAACGCCCATGCGTCCTTCGACCTGTGGGCCGAGCGGTCGCTGCAGATGATCGACCCTACGGTGGCGATGCACTACTGGGACTTCACCATCGATGCCGCCACCCTCGGACCAGAGTGAGATCAAGTGCTGCTGTAGTGCAACAACCACTAGCCGTTGTCTCCCCGCTGACGCCGTTCAAGAGCCATTGGGGCATGTTGGAGGCCAAGAGTAAGAGAGGCATCCACTGTGAAACCATTGCTGGCTACACGGTCCTACGAGCCACCGCTCAAGTTGGGGGTGGGCGGCGACAAAGTTGCGCAAGTCAAAAATAAAGAAACGCTCTGTCAACTTCCCTACGCAATGTTGTCCGCGCTATGCCCTACACAAGGTGCCTGTGCTATGCACGATGGTGCGAAGAATAACCGCGGCAGGCCATTAGTGTGCACCATCGTTTGGTCAGCCATTTTGGCCAACCAGCAATCCAAGTCCAGCCCTCCAAGTCGGACACAACAGTATCGTGTTATTGCACGCCCACACCCTTCCACGGTGCCACCAGGCGGCACCTCCGGTGTCACTCCTCGTATGCAAGATGCACGTCTTTCAAACGCCGACATCCCTACAAAAACGTGCTGCTGTAAGTTGACACAGTTGTGCTTTACATCCCCAACCACTCGGTGTTTTTGTTACCGTAAACGAGCCGGTTCCCCAGGTAAAATCACCGTGTGTTGGTTTGCAGTACTTGCGGCACCGGCTTTCCAACTTTCTCGGTAGCAGGAAGACGCGGTTCCTTTTTCTCCCGCCGAGAGGGAAGTCAGCGTATCGATGCAAGATGCAACACCGACTGCTCTCGATGGAGAGTTGAGCACTGTTATCCAACGGGCGTCAGGCTTTCGAAAGGTGGACTTTCGTAGACGCAGGCATGTCTTCTCCGCGGACCGTTCAATAGGAGACTAACCCAATGGCCAACACCCAAACTCGACGACACACCGCAGTTGGGCGGACAGCGTAATTTTCAGCAACGACATGTACGGGTCGGCACTGGGGTCCCCCGACAACGGCTACCAGATCTCCGAGGGCTGGTTCGCCGACGTGAAGTCCATCTACGACCCGGACGAGACGTTCTTGAAAGAACAAATCAACCCTGGCTACAGCCTCTACGGATACATTGACGCGAGGTACAACATCCAGGTACGAAACTCGCTGGCCTCTTCCTACACCGCACGTTGTAGTCCCCCCGCCCCCTGGAATGCTCTTGTCACCGCATACATTTTGCCCATCGTGGACTCAACGCCACCAAACATGCGCCCTCGGGGATATAAGGCCATACGTTGCCGGCGTCATTGAGGAGCGGTGCGCAATTGGACGAAATAAATCACGTCTGGAACGCAGTCGCCAAAACAACCTATCACCGCCGCATTCGCAATGGCACGAGTGGTCTCTTTTCAGCACCCACAGCGCTTGTCGCGCTCGAGAAAAGAGCCGATCTTAGCGGCATCGGCAGCCTCGGAGCTGGCAGAAGGTAGACAAGGTGCATGGCGCCAAGTGTACAGTCGCGTGTGGATGCCCTCTAGAAACGCCGGCCAAATCTGAGCGGTTCTCCCCTCGGCGTGGTTTGTGTCTTTGTCTCCCCCCCCCCTCGCCAACCTCTCCGTCTCGGCTTTGTAGGGATGCGAGGTCAATGGGTCAAACGATTACAACATGCACGACTATGAGAACCCCCCCCCCCGCCAACTTCCCGCGCCGTTTCACAGGCAGTGGATGGGGTCTCTCGTACAGCCTCATACTGTGGGGTGAGAGGCGAGATTGAGTTCGCCACGTGTAATGTAATCATCAACTGCTTCGAGCAATACGACAACATCTCTGAGTGGAACGAGTGCATGGAAAATCAGGTACAACCAGAGTCAGAACTTCTTCGTTTCGACGCGCAGAATAAGTTGCTCTCCGTGAGCGGTGTGCGGCCGCGGTAGTCATTCATGCAGCATTCTGCTCGGAGTACCAAGGCAAACAAACAAGAGCACGACGCGCTGATGTTAGCCCCCGCCGCCTGGTTCGGTTCTTTGCGTTGAAAGGGTACTGTACAGGTGACATTTTGGAAGTAAACCACAACAGCAACGACAACAATAGCAACTACGGCAAAATAATTCTGCAATTTAGTACCGCCCTGAGAGAGGGCGCCCTCCTAAGGGATATCCGCTTGGTCCCCCTTCCGAGCTCTCTCTTCTTGCCGCTGTCGTGCATGATTCCAGCCTTGTCTAACCTTGCCTCCCATTTGCCGTCCGTTTCCGGCCGTCGGCGAAACACTGCTTTTCTAGGTCCACGCGGCAAACCACGGAATGATGGGAGGAGCGTTCAACTGCAACGTGAGTTGATCTACTTGGGATGGTCGCATGTGGGTGATGGGCGAAGGGAACGCATATTTGACCTGCTCGACGTTAGTACTTGTGGAAGCCACAGGCGCGATGTGACAACTTGCGGAGATGGGGCTTCGCATGCTGACCTGGTGCACTTGAGAGCAAAATGTTTTTTCGAATGGTTGGGTCGCGAAACGTGGACCTTTGTACGTCAAAACCCCTTCGGGTTGTTGGGGCATCGGTATGTACTCCACACCCCAACATCACAGACCCAGTGCTCGATTGCGACTGTCCCGTCTGCGCCTCGCGGGTGGGATCTCACTCCAGTCAGCACTGCAGTATCCTTGTCAGTCGTGTGTCTTCAAGAAATCTTGGTTGGAAATCCGAACGGAAGGGGAAAAGAAAACTACCCATGGAGCATTCGCGTCCAAGTCTTTCGCGTCGCCCCCCCCAAGGGCTGAACAAAGGGTATGGCTGGCATTCCAAGAAGGAAGGACGAAACGGCTACCGAGGCAGGTGCCCTTGTCCACGGTGGCTGAAACGCCAGTGTTGACTGTTTCCTACTTTCCCATTTTTCCAATGACTGTCCAATACTCACGTGTCGTTCAATGCGCACGCTGCTATCCTCAACCACAGGTGGACATGGTGCAGTTCCAGGAGGACAACCCTGGGCTCAAAGCCGGGCTGCTGTCCTTCGCGCTGGAGTACATCCTCGTCGGCATGTGGCCGAGCAACTCCTTCATGGGCGACCACAACACATGCGACACGTCCTGCACCGTGGGGCAGACCCAGGACTGCGGGTGCACTTGCGACACGGATTTCCACGACTGGTCCGACGACGAGGTGAATGCCAGGCTCTGTTGTGTACGCGCGCTTCGAAGACGGAAAATCGTTGCCGTTCCTGAAAAAAGAGTTGATGCCGAATTGGGCCACTCGTTGTGTCTTCTCGTCGAAACAGCGCAAAGCCAATGAGACGACTAAATGCCCGCGTGCCTGGCAATGGCGGGCAGCAGCGTCCGGTGTTGAAAATATGTCCGGAATCTGTCCGCGAAGGTCTGGACCGATATGTTGATCTCTCCGCGTGGCCGACATGAGATAGCGGCTGAAGGGTTCGCCAGAAGCCAAAAACTCTTGAAGAAAGAGGTTGACAGCCTACTGCTGTAGCGTTGTACACGCAGTGCGTGCATGAGGCTGACGTACCGTGGTCGTCCCTTGGTGTGCTCATTGATTGCGCCGCCCTTCCTTTGCATAGTACGGCGCTTCTTGTAGGATAAAGAGCAACCTCGACTTCACAAAAAATAGCGAGGTCGTCATCATAACGTCAGACCAGGAATGGATACGGAATTGAAGCACCGGCAGCAAGGGTACTATTCATCGTTGGCCCATGAAGCTCACAACGGCGTTTTTTGCTGGTGGGATGTGTCGCCCCAGGTATACGACAAAATGGAGTCACAAATGGAGACGATGCAAAACAGGGCCCACGGCACGAAGTACGTCTACAGGGACGACGGCGCCACCTATCAGTACGGCTTCCAGCAGGTGAGCACACACCAGACCCACTGCTGTGTGTTACCCTATGCCCCTCGCATTGGCGTTCCACGACTTGCCACCACGAAACCCACTTTGCCCCGACTGATACCCGTGCCACCTTCTGCACGCCCTAAACAGAACGGAGTTAGGCTGGAACACGACGATAACATGCTGCTCATGCGCACCCTCTTGACGCTCGCCTGTGAACCGGGCGCTTTGGGGGCAATGAGCGTCGGACCCAGCATCCTCGACCCAGGTAACCATGCGCCACTTGCCCTGTTCCTTTGCCGGAATGTTCACCTTTTCTTCTTCAGTCTCACCTTGCCATCACGCTTAGTCTCTGGCATTTTCTTCCTCCCCCTCTTATCTGTTTGATGCTTCAGCTTCCGGGGAATCGAGGCCCGTTTTTTTTTTTTCCCGGCGAAGTCCTCCTTCGTGCTTTCTGCGTCCCACTCCTCCGCCTCGTGTTTCTCACGTTCGTTTCCGAGAAGGCGTGTTCCTCTTCCCGCTCTCTCAGTGCCGATTCCGCCAGTGTTCCCCCCTCCTTCCGCTTCTGACATGCTGTTGTGCCATGTAGTTTGGTGTTCGCCGGTGTTCTTTTGCGGCGCAATCCACTGCCACCACACTCGATGGGACAGCACCGCAAAATTGCTACACAACTTAGGTGACTTTGACGGAAGCAAAGATACGTTTTCATCTCAAGATAATCCTCATTCGCCGTCTCCACAAGAATGATCGCAAAGCACCGTCTTCCGCCTCCTTCCGGCCCCGCTTTCCGCCTGCCCGTATCCTCCAGTGTTTTGGGCACTCCACCCGATCTTCGAAAAAGCCACGCAGATCTTACAGCTTTCCCCGACCTACAAGGATACTTACGACTTCACGTGGGTCGGGAAGGACTGCGGCGACGGCGTGTCCGGCGGGCAGGTGGACGAGACCATGCCGTTTACAGGTACGGCTTGGTTACGATTTCACGCCTTAAGAAAAGCTTGCGACGAACGATACCCATGCTTTGGCGAGATATTTCCTCCCATCATCGACCGCGCATTGTCGCCCATCAAGTGGCGCATGTGTTTCTGGGCATCCTGCCCCTTCAACGGTTTCGGGCGGGGGACGACAGTCTACAACATACAACGAGAACACGAGCGCACACCGGTTGTCGCCGCCGACGCGCGTGCACGAGTCGCGAGGGGCGTCTCCGGAAACGATGGCGGTCGCGGTCACCTCCCCTCTTTTTGAAGTTGTCGCCAGGAGGGGGTCCGCTATTTGGTTAGATTGTGACACTTGTTTTCTCCAAGGGCTCCGACGCCGGACAGTCGTGCGCTGCGAGTAACGGGCACTCGGCGACGCTCGGGCGTAGGTCAACCCCCCCTCCGGAACCGCCGAAAGAAAATGATGACTCAACAATACATATATTCGTTCAACTCGCTAAACAATGTTGACAATATTACTTTCTCCTGAGAAAAGCCTTCCAGAAGGTTTCACCGTTCAGCTACAAGCATACCGAACGGACAACATTCTGAAGCAGGCTATTCACCAGATGTAATAACAGCGGAGGAGAGCCACACGAAATTTCGGCGAAACACAGAATAGCCAATAGCACAGGCTGACTCCCAAGACGAGTGCTGGTACGGAGAATAAGCCAATGTTGCGGTAGGCAGCCACCTTTGGGCTCTCGAAGAGGATAAGCCAGTGTTGCGGTAGGCCGCTGCCTTCGCGCTCTCGAAGTGGATTTGATGGAAATGACACCCATTAATCGGTCAAGATTCCGCTTTCTTTCGGATAGTAAAACGACCTAACCTCGACCCTTCAACACCGACGGTTGACTAGGAAAAGACACATGTGCATGGGTGCTTGACAAGATTAGTGCGTATGAGGTAGGCTAACGCTCGAGTGCTTGGTCTCAACGCAAGGGTCACCGCGGGATTTCCATACCAAAACGTAACCCCCAGCAACAAGACTCCTGGCTAGTCCAACAACCTCACGCCAATGACAATGACCCTAAATGCAGCGAGCGAGCCGCATGAGATCGCCATCACATGTGTCACAGCACGGTAATTTCACCGACCTCAGTAGTAGGGCCGCTCCAATGACGACCGTTTCACAGCACTTGTTCCAGCTTCGCCCTCGGACGTGTCGCCTACCTCCGTACCTCTCGTCGGCACTTTGGGGTTGGACGTTTTCGTATTGTCCGCATCAACATCATCCAGACATCCGGAGTCGAGCGCTCGATGCGTGCCCCGGCGCAGCGTCGCCTGGTGTTTTCCCGCTCGTCTTCCACCCACGCCTCACGTTGATTTGTATCGGTGGGACCGACCGCGCTAACCGGCTGACTAGTGAAAAGACGTCAGTCTCAGTATAATACGAAATGCTTCTTAAGGCCGTGATCTGGGGCCCCGTGAGGGGGCGCCATGGGGGAGGCGACCCTACGTCTGTATGTTCGTATACGTTATTTTTCCCTCTTTGCCTGTCTGGTGCTCAGAGCGGGACTTCGGCTTCGGCGACGGCGACGAGCCCCTGACGAACCAAGAGATCATCGATTTCCTGTTCCCGACGAACCCCAGGCTGCCCTACGTGTATGACAAGTTCGACTCCTGGGGAGCCTGCACAGATTGGGACTTTGAAGTGGCTGCGGCTTAACCATGCCGTGTGTGTGTGCCATCAAGCTTGGCGAACCGTGAGGAACGCCGGGCTGTGCTTTGATTGTGGGCTGGAGCTTGTCGTTGGTCGCCAATGAGGGACACACCGCATGTTGACTTGCTAACGCCCGCGCTGTATGGGCCCCTGCCAGCGATGTATGCGGTGCCTTGCGTTTAGTGATGTTGACGTTGCGGTATTCCATTTTCCTTCGGTATCTACCCTCGCGACACACGACACTCGAGCATTATCTGGTGTCTTCGCCGAAAGTGCCATTCAGTAAATGTTTGGGGTGAAACGCCGCCGCACAGACAGATGGTTTACCACCGTATCCACGATGATACGCATACATCCGTCGATTCTTGTGAGAGAATGTTTTCTGACGAGGACGCGGCAATGCCTTGTATCACCACTTCTTTTTGGCGGCAGATTCGGCGCGAGGTCCACTGCAAAAGGTGGCCCGATAAGTTGCATGTTGGGGCAAGAGGAGAATATGCCGCTATTCAGGGCAGTGCCACTACTGTAGGCAATATATCGGGTTCATGTAGTCTACATGTTGAGATTGTGACCAGAGATTCTGATGCCACTATATAGGCATTGCCACTGTTCAAGTTGCCACTATAATAGGCATTGCCACTGTTCAAGTTGCCACTATATCGGGCTGCTTCCTGTACCGGTCCCTCCTCGCAAGGGCAGAAGGAAATCAACTTGGGTTCCCTGGATGGTGGTAAGATCGTTCCTCGGTGATTGTGTAGGGCGGATCGTGGCTGTTGTGATGTTTGACGAGGAAATGGTTTTCAGGTGTGAGAAACGACGCGTGACATGATTTTCGCGGTGATGTATTGATGTACTCATTGTCGTACGCGTGTTTGTGTTTGTGTTTGTACATATAGACTTAGTCTACCCCCGATTCGATTTCCCAGGATGTCCTCATCGCCACCTATTGTGCAGACAATGACTGCATGCTCTCAGTCGCAGCGGCGTTGAGAACAAGTCATGTCTATTCGGGAGGCCAGGATGCCACGATCACTAGCCGTCTGGATTTAGAGATGCTGTGCACCATGTCCGAGGTTGTCATATCTATAGTTCATACCATCGCAACTTTTCAAGGATCTTTGTGTTATCCAGAGGGAGTTGCTTTCGTTGTGTTCGGAAGCAACGTGTGAGAATCTGAACCATCCGTATGTTGTATGCCTCACGACCCTTTGACGATAGCTCTGTATGGTGTTTCATTTCTCCTTGCCTCCGGTCGTTCCGCTCCGGTTTCTCTTTCGAGATTGGTGGTCAGAAAGCTGTCGTGCAATGCCCCTACATACATATGAGAGCACGACATTCCTTATCTTGAAGGTGCGTAATGTTCGCTTCATTCAATCTATGTCTGCGTCACAGCCGCTCCAAAAGGGCGTCCATGTCGTTCTTCTAAGCTATCGGACACTCACATCCGATATATTCCCGCAGAGATATGGTCAACCGAGGGGGCTCCGCAGCATCTAGGGGGGGGTAACTGGCAATAGTCCCGCTATACCTCCCGCCACATAGCTGAACCACGCCTATCTCGGCCCGCATCGTGTTGGCACGGCTCACAGCTATCATTCAAGCCACCCCCCACCCCAATCGGACCAGTGGGTGCAGAGAAACGCCCACCCACGGGGGCTCAGGGACTCAAGGGCCGGTGGAGCAGATAAGCTTATCTGCCCCACCAGGCCAAACTCCATCTACCGGGCGCTGTTTGTCTTACGAAGACTTGCCTTGTGTTGGCCGGCTCACAGCTATCATACAAGCCATCGGACACCCCGATCGAACCAGTGGGTGCAGAGGAACACCCACCCACGGGGGTTCAGTGACTCAAGGGCCGGTGGAGCAGATAAGCTTAACTGCTTGTATTGTGTCGGCACGGCTCACAACTATCATTCAAGCCACCGGACACCCCAATGGGACCGGAAACGCCCACCCATGGGGACGCAGTAACTCAAGGGCCGGTGGAGCAGATACACCAGGCCAAACTCCATCTACCAGGTGCTGTTTGTCTTACGAAGACATTCATTGTGTTGACCCGGCCCACAACTATCATGCAAGCCATTGGACACCCCAATCGGACCAGTGGGTGCAGACAAACGCCAACCCACGGGGGCTCGGCGGCTTAAGGGCCGGTGGAGCTTAACTGCTCCACCAGGCCAAACTCTATCTCCACCGGGCGCTGATCGTCGTACGAAGACTGTGACAGGATAGGGGCACCCCCTGGGTATGGGAAATTTTCTTAAACGGGCTCCCCTCCGGGCTAACGGGCACTCCTCCCCACCCACCCCAACGAACGGGCACCCCCCCAATAACGCCCCCCTCCTGGTGGTTTGGGGCACTCCCCCTCAACTAACGGCACTCTCCGCCAACAACGGCCACCCCACCTCCATTGTCGGTACTCCTCTCTGCTCACGGACACCTCTTGGCGCCGTGTTCGGACGGTGCAGTGCTCTGTATGTAGTATACACTGTATTTCCTGATCACATACACTGTATTTGTTGATCAGATACGCTAAACACTGTATTCCCTGAGCAGATTCACTGTATTCCCTCATCAGATACTCCGTATTCCCTCGCTCATTTCACTGTATTCCATCATCAAATACATTGTATTCCCTGGTCAGGATCACTGTATTTCCTTATCCGATACACAGTGCTTGTCGTACTTTTCACTGTATTCCCTGATTTACTGTGTTCCCTCATCAGATACACCGTACTGCCTCGTTGTTTCACTGTATTCCCTCATCAAATACACTGTATTCCCTGGTCACGATCCCCGTATTCCCTCTTCAAATACACTACCGTATTCCTTGTACTTTTCACTGTATTCCCTAATCAGATTCAATGTATCCCTCATCAGATGTGCACGCCGTGGAATGCAGTGAATGTGATGAAGGAATACAGTTTATCTGATGAGGGAACACAATGAATCTGCTCTGGGAATAAGGTTTATCTGACGAGGGAATACCGTGTATCTGCTCTGGGAATACAGCGTATCTGATCAAGGAATACGGTGTATCTGACCAGGGAATACGGCGATTCTGATCAGGGAATGAAGTGAATCTGATAAGGGAAACATTGTATGTGATGAAGAAATACAGTGAATCTGCTCAGGGAATACAGTGTATCTGACGAGGGAATACAGTGTGTCCCCTCAGCGAATACAGCGTGTGTGATCTGGGAATACAGTGTATATCCCATGACAGCGTAGTATGTGATCAGGGAATACAGTGAATATGACTAAAGGATACAGTGAATGTGACGAGGAAATGGCTCAGAGGCCACATATCTGCTCCATCGGCCTTTGGGCGATGAATCCCCATGGGTGGGCGTTTCCCTGCACCCACGTGTCCCATTGGGGTGCCCAATGGCTTGTATGATAGCTGTGGGCCGGGCCAACACAATGAATGTCTTCTTGAGACAAACAGCGCCCGGTGTAGATAGAGTTTGGCCTGGTGGGGCAGTTACGCTTATCTGCTCCACCGGCCGTTGAGTCACTGAACCCCCGTGGGTAGGTGTTTCTCTGCCACCACTGGTTCGATCGGGGTGTCCGATGGCTTGTGTGATGGCTGTGAGCCAGGCCAACATAAGGCAAGTCTTCGTAAGACAAACAGCGCCCGGTAAATGGAGTTTGGCCTGGTGAAGCAGTTAACTCTTCTGCTCCACCGGCCCCTGAGTCACTGAACCCCCGTGGGTGGGCGTTTCTCTGCACCCACTGGTCCGATTGGGGTGGAGGATGGCTTGAATGATAGCTGTGAACGGTGCCGACACAATACAAGCCGTAGTAGGATAAACAGTACCCTTAACGAAGAGTTGGCCTGGTGGAGCAGATAAGCTTATCTGCTCCACCGGCCCTTGACCCACTGAGCCCCCGCGTGGGGGCGTTTCTCTGCACCCACTGGTCCGATTGGGGTGGAGGATGGCTTGAATGATAGCTGTGAGCCGTGCCAACACGATGCGGGCCGAGATAGGCGCGGTCCAGCTATGTGGCGGGAGGTATAGCGGAACTATTGCCAGTTACCCCCCCCTAGGTGCTGCGGACCCCCTCCGTGTCAACACGATGCGGGCCGAGATAGGCGTGGTTCAGCTATATGGCGGGAGGTATAGCGGGACTATTGCCAGTTACCCCCCCCTAGATGCTGCGGAACCCCCTCGGTTGACCATATCTCTGCGGGAATATATCGGATGTGAGTGTCCGATAGCTTAGAAGAACGGCATGGACCGTGCACACACGATGCAAAAGATTTGAGGTCAATTGAAGCGGTGTGGACGGAGGTTCGAGACGTACTGCTTCCTGACATGCTGTGGAACCCCCTTTTTCAGCATATCTCTGTAGCCACCGGTCGGATTTAGCTTGTAAGTAGCATTGCAGATAGCTGTAGTCCATACCTACACGATGCAATTGGTTTGAGGTCGATTGAAGCTCTGTGGGTGGAGATCTGCCTGGTGGAGCAAATAAGAACTTACTCCACCGGTGGAGCAAACAGCATTGCCGTACATTATAAATATTTTTTTTCATTTCAGGATACACCTCGGGAAAATTCCCGCCGTTTTTTTCCCGCCGTGGTGGGCGGTCCAGGTACTGACGGTAATTACCGCCACATTCGGTGGTACCGGGAACCGCCGAAGGCGGTACCGCCGAAAAACGAAATACCGCCTACCGCCAAAAAAGTACCGCCATATTGCAGTACCGCCGAAGAAGTACCGCCAAAAAACGAAGTACCGGGAACCGCCTAAAAAAACCACCATATTGCAGTACCGCGAGAAAAGTACCGTCAAAATTGGCAGTACCGGGAACCGCCAAAGGCGGTACCGCCGGGAAACGAAATACCGCCTACAGCCAAAAAAGTACCGCCACATTGAAGTACTGCCCCGCCTGAACCCGCCTAAAAACCTAGTACCGAGGTGTACTGATATATTGTCAACATTCGTTCAAACCACCTTTGCCTTCTGCCCAGTGACAGTACGCCTGATTCCGCGACCTTCCCTATGGTTTACCGTGGATAACTTTCGTTGCAATAGGCAGATACTGCGGCCCCATCGAATGAGGGCCAAAACAACAAATAATCCTACTCAACTCGGGAATATCGCAAATTCAATGTGCAGATAGTTGTGGCAAGCAGCAAGGAACACTGAGCTACACGTCGCTGAAAATATGGGTTTCGATGCGCCCGAAGATGTCGTGGTCGGGTTACGAATTATAGCAAGAAGAACAGAACGCCCCTGAAACCCCCAAGACACCGCCATGAGCGGTAAAGCGGGGAGTGTGAAGAATACGAAGCGTTTCTCGTGATGACTCCCCCCCTCCCGCCTTGTTCGTATTCTCCAGAGCATTGGATCTAGGGCGGAGTGTTGCGGGTGATTTTCGGTGCCAACTCCCGCCCCCTGGGTTGGCCTGAGTTTGCGCGCACCGCACTGCACGCTGAGTGTAGCATCGTTGCCTTATCGGTCGTAGCGCACTGACGAAGACACAATGCCGTTGGAGCGCCGGTGGTGATGGACCTACACCAGAATAGGGGGTCAGGAAGTTCAGAGATATGTACGACATCCCCCAACGTTCGCCACCCCGAGCTAGTGGTCGGGAAGTGATGTTGTATCTCTATTGCGGTGTTAATACTTCTTTTGGGGGGGGGTTAGCTGATCGAACGACAGCGACACACGCACCGGTGTTCGCTATTGACTCTACTGTAGTGTTTGCATCGACATTTAATATTTCAGAGGCAAGACAAAGCGGTCTCATGACACAGAGCAAGGGGCGAAGTAGCAGCGAAAATTCGGGAAATCAAGAATCAAACAAGATCTTGGAGCCCATAACCAAGAAACAGTATGCCAAGAATCAGTGAGGGTGACATTGGCACAAGTATTGCAAGCTGAACGGGGACGCTGCCGCCGTGTATACGGCTTCAGTAAAACCGAGAGACAGTTTCTCGCGGGATATTGTGCTGACGTGCAGAAGGGCCCCGGCGTTTCTCTCTCGTTGTGTCCTTTCCTTTCCTGGAACTCCCTCGCGACAGAAAGATACCCGTGCCCAAACAGATGATCACCGCTTTAAGGGGGGCTCGTATTTCGTACCACCTCACGAGTACGGTCTAGCCTGGACATGATATCGCGGAATACCGGCTCTGAACTACTTGTAGTGTCAATTCCAGTCACCTTAGACTGGGCAACTACCTTGCTCATATCGCCTTATATCGGGACCCCCACTTTGGTGGAGTCGCTGTGTTGCTTTTCTATTCTTTTGGTAGGACTACGTGGGGCAGAAGAAATGAGAGGGATAACAGCTATGCAGCTCCTTCCAGCGACGCACCGGCCGAAGCACTAGCCGCTACGAGTTCCAAGCGTCAGGTGCGAGAGTTGCGCTGCAATCTTTGTCCCGTGAGCGGGTGCTTGCAAGGCCGATCTCGCTTAACATGAGCACGTTTGACGAGGACATGAAATATTGCGTGACGTCGATGCCTACGGCCTGGCCTCTCCGACTGCCGACGGGCGGTAAAAGTTTATTCCCGTCCCACAAACGGCGGCACCCAAGGCACCGACCTCCAGCAAACCCAATGTCCTGTTGGGAACTACCGGAAGCACCGCCTTGCACCTCTTCTCCCTCAACAGCTTCATCCACCAACGCTTCTACCCAATACTTGGAAGTGTTGGATACGTGCACTAAATGTTACTTTGCTTGTGGTTGTTTCCTGCTCTTAAACGCCATCTCTGTCGATACCTAGCGGTATATCTAGTTGTACAAAATTGCTGCGTAGTTTCACCCCGCGCGGCAGGAGGCGCTCGCGGGTTCAAGGCGCCCCCTAAGCAGCGCATGCGCGCTCGCTCCAACACCGGCCGGTTAGCCATCTCGACAATTTCTCCCCCCTCAATCTCGTCATCTCCGGCGCCGTTCGCCTTCCCAGGAGATGGATTTGACGTCGAATCACCTTCGGAACATGATGCACCCTCCGAGTCGCAGTTTAGGCCTCTTGCCCCAGTTGCGTTGGTGTCCTCCGTTGATTCGTCACGGGACCGCTTCCTGTTGTCGCGACCATCATGTGCCAATATCCCGGACTCCCTTCTGTCCAAGGCCTCGCCGTCGACACCACCGCCTCGCGCCGAATCAGCACCACCGTTAGGTTCCATGCATGCATCCACCGTCGCCTTGATAGCCATTTGACCGCTGCCGCCGCTGCACTGCCCCTTGCATCGGCCGAGTCTTGAGCACCGCCAGTCTTCGTCAACGCAGACGCAGCAATGCTGTCGGGTCGGCTCAGGTGAGTCTTGGACGGGAGTCGAGGGCATGGCGGAGGCCTTGGCTTCTTCGCCGGTGGGGCTTTGCCGAGAGGGGTACGGCGAGCCGTCAAAGGTGGTCTTGGTGCTTTGTCATAGGAGGGCAGGCGAGAAGAACCGGCCGGGGCCACAGAGCTGGTACCCTTGGGGATCAATAGCGGCTTCAGCCCTGTGCAGGAGATGGGCTCCGACGCCGGCTTGGGGCAGCTTGGCATCCGGGGTGTGAGAGTCACCGGTGGCTTTACCGTGCTTACCGGCAGGGGCGCAGACGTCTTCAGCTTAGGCGTGGGGGTTGGAATGAACATCCTTATCGACATGGGGGTGCTCGGCGGCCGGGGTGCTGGCGTCTTGAGCAGGTTAGGCGTGCTTGGTTGCCGGGGCTTGGGCGTGGTGGGTGACCGGGGCTTGGGCGTGCTTAGCGGCCTAGCTACGAGAGTCACCGGTGGCTTGGGGGCACTTGGCGGCGGGGGGGTGAACGACTTCAGTGGCTTAGGCATGTTCGATGGCAGCGGCATAGACCTCTTGTTGCAGATATTGGCCGAGGATCCACTCGCACGGTTTCGCTGCGTCAACTGCTGTGTGTCGAATGCCGAACAAGGGCGGCATATCAACTGCTGGACACCTTGGACAACGAAGAGGGAAAAACGCGCACCAATATCACATGCAAAAGAGTGTCGGTAGTGTTGTCAGAGCGCATCGTTTTCAAGCAAGCCACCGACGCACGCTTCGACCAGCAAGAGGAAGCGAGTGGAGGCCACCGCTGCTCGGCGGCCGTGGTGTGGTAGTGACCGATGTCTTGTGCGTGCTAGGCGGCCGGGCTGTGAAAGGCATCTTCACCGGCTTGGTTGTGGTGGGCGGGTGGGGCTTGGGAGTGGTGGGCGGCCGCGGTGTACACGTCTTCGGCCCCTTCGTGGTAGAACGCGGTCCCGACTTTGAGCTCCAAGAGAAGCTTGACTTACCGTTGTTAGGGGGCAGCCCCCGCGGCAGAGGTGATCGCGGGCGAGTTCGTTTCTCCACGGTGTTGTTCGCGGTGCCAGCGTCAGCCTCCACTCGCTTCCTGCTGGTCGAAGCGTGCGTCGGTGGCTTGCTTGAAAACGATGCGCTCTGGCCAGACAACGCTACCGACACTCTTTTGCATGTGACGCGTTTTGCCCTCTTCGTTGTCCAAGGTGTCCAGTAGACGACATGCCGCCCCTGCTCGGCATCAGACACACAGCAGTGGACGCAGCGAAACCGTGAAGTGGATCCTCGGCCGACATCTGCAACATGCTCTAGTGTACAGGCCAAGATTTGTGCGATGAATCGGCTGCATGCCGAATGCCAGCGGTTACAACAGAGACACCTGTTTCCAATCCGACGTGTTGGAGAGGGAGCGTTTCTCGCCGAACGGTTGATATCCACCTTAATTCACAGATTAGCGGCCGATCACCATATTTCAGAATACCGTTCTAGCAAACAAGTTGTGAAAATGTTGTGCACATAGCAGGGGAGAGTCAGGCTCACTCTTGAGTCGGCCGGTCCTCGAACTGCAGAATCTCCATCCACTCGCCCAACGGTGACGGGTCAAAGCGGTTGACAAGCAGGGATAGGTACGCCGCCAGCCTTTGTGCGGAACGTCGGGGGGTACTCGAGGCACGTTGTCCACCTCAAGCTGTGGGAGGAGTCAAGAATGCTGTAGAAAAAACAAATTGAGCCATTTTTTTTTTTTCCATACTAATAACAAGAAATGTATCACGTCACGACGACCATCCTGTGAGCATATAGATAACATGATGAGGGAGGGAAGGGCAACAGCTGAGGACCTCATTCCAGCGGCCCAAAGGGCCAAAGCGCTAGACGCGACGATGTTTTTTCACGTTCGGCACGAGGATTGCGTGCTACAACCTGCCACGGGGTGAGTGAATGCTTGCAAGGCCGGTCTCGTTTCACGTAGGTACGCGTGACGGGGAAGGAGTAAAACGTGATGTGACGTTCGCGGAAACAGCCGCACGGCTGCGCTTGCCGGGGCCACAGGTATATGTATATTCCCGCCGCACGAACGGCCGCCCCCAAGACACCGACCACCAGCCACCTCCATCTACTCTTTGGAACTACGGCATAGCCCCCCCGTTTATCTCTCAAGCTCAACAGTTTCGTTCACCACATTTCTACTAAATACGTGTACCATATTCTACGTTTGTGGGTTGTTTCCCGCTGTTCGACACCGTCCTGGTCGATAGTTTACAGCACATAAAATATTTACAAAGTTATTGCACAGTTTCATGCTTCGCGGCAGGCGGCGCTCGCAGATTCAAGGCGCCGCCTAAGCAGCGCATGCTCGCTCGAACACCGGCCGGTTAGGCATATCGACAATTTCTCCCTCCTCAATCTCGTCATCGTCCGTGCCGTCCGCCTTCCCAGGAGATGAGGTTGACGTCGAATCACCTTCGGAACCTGATGCACCCTCAGAGCCGCTGCCCGTCTTAGGTCTTTTGCCCCCGATACCGTGCGTTGCGGCCGAGGTATCCTCCGTTGATTAGTCACGGGACCGCTTCCTGTTGTCGCGACCATCCTGTGCCAATATCCCGGACTCCCTTCTATCCATGGCCTTGCCGTCGAGACCACCGTTAGATTCCATGCATGCCTCCGCGTTCGCTATAGTAGCCATCTGACTGCTCCCGCCGTTGCGCGGCCGCTTGCCATCGGCTTGAGCACCGCCAGTCTTCGTCAACGCAGAGGCACCAATGCTGTCGGGTCGGCTCAGGTGAGTCTTCGACGGGAGGCGCGCGCATGGCAGAGGTCTTGGCTTCGTCGCAGGTGGGGCTTTGGCGAGGGGGCTTGGGCGGGCCGTGGGGGGTAACCTTGGTGCTTTGCCGTAAGAGGGCAAGCGAGAAGAACCGGCCGGGGTCTCAGAGTTGGCCCCCTTAGGCATCGAGGGCGGCTTCGGCCCTGTGCAGGGGATGGACTCCGACATCGGCTTTGGGGCGCTTGGTGTTTGGGGTGTAGGAGGCACCGGAGGCATTACCGTGCTTACCGGTAGGGGCACAGACGATGTCAGTGGCTTAGGCGTGCATGGCGGCGGGGATGTGATCGACATCCTTCTCGGCTTGGGGGTGCTCAGCGGTCGGGGTGCTGGCTTCTTGAGCACGATGGGCGTGCATGGCGGCTGGGAGCGACTCTAGACCCATGGTTTTGGCTACTGACAGAGGTGTAGACGTCTGAAGCGGATTGGGGGTGGTCGGCGGCCGGGGTGCTGGCTTCTTGACCAGGTTAGGCGTGCTTGGTTGCCGGGGCTTTGGCGTGGTGGGTGGCCGGGGCTTGGGCGTGCTTGGTGGCCTAGCCGCGAGAGTTACCGGTGGCTTGGGGGTGTTTGGGGGCGGGGAGTTGAACGACTTCTTTGGCTTGGGCGTGTTGGGTGACAGCGGAGTGGACCTCCTCAACTTGGGCATGCTTGGCGGCCGGGGTGTGGTGGGCGGGCGGGGCTTAGGTGTGTTCAGCGGGCGGGGCTTAGGCGTGTTCGGCGAGCGGGGTTTGGGTGTGTTGGGCAGGCGGGGCTTAGGTGTGTTTGGCGGGCGGGGCTTACACGCCTTCGGCTGGGTCGTGGTAGCAGGCGGTCCGGACTTCGAAGTCCAAGATGAGCTCGACCTAGCGTTGTTCGGGGGCACCCCCCGGGGTAGTGGTGGTCGCGGACGAGGTCGCTTCTCCGCGGTGTTGCTCGCAGTGCCAGCGCCAGCCTCCATTCGTTTTCTCTTGCTAGTCGATGCGTGCGTGGGTGGTTTGCTCGAGTACGATGCGCGCTGCTGGCCCTTGCATGAAGAACCGTCCTTGGTCGAGACCTTGCCGCACGTCAAACCACCGCCAGTAGCCCCACGACTGTGCAATAGCAACACCTTCGGCGGCGGCGGCGGAGGCATCGACGGCCGCCGTCCATCAACCATCTTGTTCGTCGTCATCGAGGGTCGGCCTAGCGCCGAAGCTATCCTCTTTCTCCGTTGTGCGTCGTCTCTCTGCTTAGCTAATGATTTCGTCACGCGGTGCCGAGTGATCTTGGTGCCCGATTTGCCTGTGTCGTTGTCCAAGGTTTCTAGCCATTCTTCCGTCGCTCCTGTTCAGCATCGACACACAGCAGTTGCAGCGGAAAAAATGAAGCAAGTTCTCCCCCGATATCTGCATTTTGCCCGATTGAATGAAAACTCCGTGCGATGAATGGGCTGCTTGCCTAATACCAGGGACCACCCAAGGATCACCCAACCAGGAAGACACCGATTTCAGGTCCGACAAGTCCGCGAGCGGGGCCACTCTTCCCGAACTGTTGCTACCCAGCTATATTCACAATGGCGCGGCCTTGTTCGTAGTTCAACATGGGGCTGAGCCTCAACTGCAAAATTGGAGGTTGGTTTGCCATACCGAAAAAGCGCCCTTACTTCCTCGCCTTCATACGTTTCGCTCGAAACATAGCGCCCGTTGAAACAAAAAAAACGAACTGCGATAAACGATGCTCGTTTGATCCCGAGGTTTTAGGCTATGCAACTTGGGCTCGTATTTGCGTCAAGCGCTCCGACTCGGCCGCAGACGACTCCCACGGTAAGCACAGTTGTCCAACGACATCTAAGCCTCGGTTGAAACCATGCGCACAAAAGCCAATCAAACACCAATTCGAGAGCATCGTTCTAGCAAACAAGTTTTGAAAATTTCTGCATGAGTGACAGGGGAGAGTCAGGCTCACTCTCGAGTTGGCCGGAGTCGTTGAACTGCAGAACCTCCGTCCACTCGCCCGACTGTGGCGGCGGAACGTTGTTGACAAGCAGGGATAGGTACGTCGCTAGCCTCGCGCGGAAGGTCGGGGGGTACTCGAGGCACATCGTCCACTTCAAACTGTGGGAGGAATCAAGTAACGCAGGTGGGAGTGCGTGTGTCAGAAACTCAGACAGTACGACCCCCGCCATATGCGTCAAAAAATGTGGGGGCTGGCGGAGATGGGCGGAAAGCTCTTGGGGTTGGGACGGACCACCAAAACATCGACGCGCTAGAGGACAACTGTGAACCTCGTGCGAATTTGGTCTTGACCAGACACCCCTGCTGGTCATGCTTTTCGGATGCGAATGAGGCCCCTGCGCTCGTCCAAACAAACCGCAACCTGCGGCGCACGACCATTGTCCCATAGTCCGTCCACAGCTGTTGGTTTCACGCCGTTCTCAGGGCTCGCGCAACGTTACGCGCCGATCTCGATATTCTACCCACCACAGTATACCGCCAGCGTACATCGCGACCCCGTGCTGAGCTGTACCCCCGCACACTTGAATAACGTACCTCTGACTTAGCAGGTGGCAGCAGCCCTTGGAGATCAAGGCCCCCATGTTTTCCCGTACCCAGCCTTTAGGGCCGGTTAGGGAAAGGCGGTTTTGAGGCATAAGACCATGGTATGGCTGTGGGTATCGCACGATATCTCACGCGATAGTCCCGGCATGCGGCCCCAGACGCGGAAAAGGCGAAAACCACGTCTCTAACACAGGACACTTGGAAACGCCGGTGTGGTTGGTCGGTCGAGCTCCTATTCAGCGGTGGTGAGCACCTACTTGTCACGTTTTGCTCTTCTTGTGTCGAGATCGGACAAACCTCAACCGCTTCTTTCACCACTCTACAAGGCTCAAGGGGTCACCGACAGACAGGATCAACCCGGCCACTTGATATCGAGGAGTGTCGTACACCCAAGACGCTAATAGAGTGTGTTCCCGAGCCCCTTTCCCTCTCCGCCAAATCTCGACACACAACCTATTAGACGCGGCAGCCCGTCCCTCACCCATTCTTTGAAAGTGCAGGATCAGGTCGTTGGCGTGCGGGTAGGCGTGCTCGATCAAGAAGTCGAACCCCAGTGCACTCATAATCTTGTTCTCGACTTTGACCACCCGGGTCTTGAATCTTTTGTACGCCTGGCAATCGAGGCATGGGGCCGCGGAGGAGGGGAAATGAACGACTCCGGGTGCGGCTAACGATTATCATGTATCTCAACGGTTGGCAGTACTTCGAGAAGCTCAACAACGGAAAGAAGCCGTCCTCGGTAGCACTGCAATGCAAGTGAACTGGTCGTGTTAGTTTCTCGCCGGTCTCATCTCGTCCACAGGTTGGTGCCGAAGCTTTCTTGCCGGTAGTGGGCGCTATTTCTAAACTCACCTCCGAGGGGTCCGAGCGCCCGATGATGGCATAGTTGGCGACTTTGTTTGTGGCGATGAGGACGTCCTTGATGTGGATTTTGAAGTCCTCCACCTTGCTGGCCAGCAAGACTGACGCCGCCACCGTGTCCTGATCGAAAAAACACAACAACGCACACAAATCAGGAACAACCAGCGAGGTTTCGAGGCCAGGCTCCGTTACCTACGGGCGTCTTGACTACCGTTGAAAAAATCATATCCGAGGTGTTCTTCTGTTCCTTACAGAGCCCAGTGCTTGTGGGTGGTCACACTTCAACCGTCCGTAGAATTCGGTTGTTTGGAGTTGTCTCACCCCACAACGTATACCACAAATGGGTGTGAAAAGTACTCAAGGAGTTCGACTAGCCCCGGGCCGAGAGCAAGTTAGAATCACTAGAATCCTCGCTTCTCCTTGTGAAAAAGCGTTAATACCCGAGGTGATTTTTTCGCCAGGAGAAGGGGCGTTGAAGAACAACAGCGCTTTTCCATACAGCAACCAATATCAAAGTTCTGCAGACGGGTGAGAAAGTCACAGAGAAGAGCGGGCATCACACAGCTCCCCCAGGCACTGCAGATGAAAATATCGTTACCACTGCTGTACAGCAGCAGTACAAATGTGTCTCCTCACCTGCTGCTCTTCTTGACGGAGGGGGGATTTTCCATCTCTTCCAAGGTGAACTTCCACCCACGGCCCTCCCAACCAAAGTCGGAGCGCCTCCCAACCCTCGTCATGACCGCTTGCTCCTTTCCATCGTCTACCGGCTTCGCTGCGGCTACTCCTGTGTCAGTCATCGCCCCGAGTGCGGCGGCGAGCGAGTGAAGTGGCTGATTGTGTGATCTGCCGAGGGAGTTCCTCACAGGACCCGATCGATCCTACCCTTCTCCAGGAGCTTGTCTAGTCAGGTCGTTTCTTGGCTTATCGCTTACACTGGTCTCACGTGCTGGGAGCTGGTGCCTCTGTATCAAGCTATTTAGAAACCACAAGGAGAAGTGTGGGGCGGCCACCGGCGCAAAACATGGCGGAGCGGGGGGCTCTGTGACGTGTGAATCTTTTCAATCCGCACCGGCTACCAGGGTGCTACCGTCTGATCACCCGCCATACACACAGAAACATATTCTACATTCCTCCCATCTTGCCTGACTCCCTGCGTGTAACCCAAGCAATGTCACTCGTTGTCCGAAGGGGAATCTTGTACAAAGAGTAAGCATTTGGATCCAATCTTCGCGGCCTTGTTCTTGCGTATGTATGCACACCTCGGGGATGTGGTTGCATGGCTGTGACGTTCACTGCAGCACGCATGCTCTGTTATGAAAGCGCTTCGTTTGTGGTCGGGACGAATGCTGCTGCTGCAAATGTTGCCCGTGTCCTTGTTGCTTTTGTTTCGTACGGTCTGAACCATAGTCTAGGCTACTGGGCTTCTCAGAGATGTTCCACATCATCACCCCACCGACAGGTATGTTGTTTCGATGAGCTGTGGTCACAGGCCCACCCACAAGACTTAGTTTAACTGCTGGTATGATGCGATGTGGCAACCGCCTGACGACCGGATGCACATGCTCGCTCGTACAATGATGCGAAGGTGTACCGATTCTGGTAAAAGTCAATCGACTGATACCCTGCGAGTCGGGTCCTCCTTAACACTCTCCACCCACAGAATTACCCTCAACTGGGAACCTCTTGTGGCCAGGACGGGTATTCGATGAATGTGTCACAAGGTTCTTTATAGGATCGATTCCAAGAGGTGTTCTCAGGACTGACACACATTGTGTCCATGGGAAAATGTCCAAGTCAGGAGAAAAACGTGCACCCAAGGAGATTCGAACCAGTATCATCCTGCTGACGCCATATGCGAAGGTGTACCGATTCTGGTAAAAGTCAATCGACTAATACCCTGCGAATCGGGTCCTCCTTAACAATGACACATTTTTTTCAGTGCTGCGTTCACCCGTTTGATGCAACATCACAGGGTTTTGCGGTGACCTCTTTCTGCGTTTTGTGCCAAATGTACTGTACCTGTAGGCGGTTGGACAAAGAGTGTGTGGTTGAGACCCTTCACTCCCGTCGGGCTATCAGTGCCCATGTCCCCGATTCTAAATCAACCCCGAGAACAGGGTTGCCCGTGTTTCAAGCGGGGACACGAGCGAGGCGACAACATGCCCATCAAGATACAAGCCAAAGATAAACACTTTTCCCAAATACTAATACAGTACGTTCGCCAGGTTAGAGGAACTCCAAGGACATCGTGCCCTGTTCCGTCGTTCGTGAGAGTGGATTCGTGAACGGGACAGACAGGTGGGTCGCCCAACGAACGAGGCGCGAACAGCCAGCCGGTAGAAATCGTTGGTGTGAATGCCCGCCAGTGCGGCGCTAGCGATCAATGGACAACGCCTCTGTTTGAAAACAAGGGGATGTCACTAAATAGTCCCCGGGGAGAGAGAGCGTGGGGCGTCTGTTCCGCCGCAAAATGACTGACGTACAGAGTGGTTTCATTGGACAGCGGCTTGGTTCTTCTGTAGACCCCCCCGGATTAAAACGATTCACACGTCACAGAGCCCCCCGCTCCGCCATGTTTTGCGCCGGTGGCCGCCCCACACTTCTCCTTGTGGTTTCTAAATAGCTTGATACAGAGGCGCCAGCTCCCAGCACGTGAGACCAGTGTAAGCGATAAGCCAAGGAACGACCTGACTAGACAAGCTCCTGGAGAAGGGTAGGATCGATCGGGTCCTGTGAGGAACTCCCTCGGCAGATCACACAATCAGCCACTTCACCCGCTCGCCGCCGCACTTGGGGCGATGACTGACACAGGAGTAGCCGCAGCGAAGCCGGTAGACGATGGAAAGGAGCAAGCGGTCATGACGAGGGTTGGGAGGCGCTCCGACTTTGGTTGGGAGGACCGTGGGTGGAAGTTCACCTTGGAGGAGCTGGAAAATCCCCCCTTCGTCAAGAAGAGCAGCAGGTGAGGAGACACATTTGTACTGCTGCTGTACAGCAGTGGTAACGATATTTTCATCTGCAGTGCCTGGGGGAGCTGTGTGATGCCCGCTCTTCTCTGTGACTTTCTCACCCGTCTGCAGAACTTTGATATTGGTTGCTGTATGGAAAAGCGCTGTTGTTCTTCAACGCCCCTTCTCCTGGCGAAAACATCACGTGCTGCTGTTTTGGGTGAGGAATGCCATCATGCTCACGTTGTACAGGTACCGCCGTAATAGCCTGCCAAACCACGCGCGTGTGCGTTCTAAAACCTCGAGATTACAAGTGAAAAGAGCACACTCGTGAGGGAGGGGACACCTTTCTCGTGTGAAGATTAAGTGCACCGCAGCAAGAAGTATGGAGACTTCCTCCAGTTTGGTCACCGTCGCTGCGTCATTACATTATTCCGAAAGGTGGTACATAGCTATTTGGCCCGCCACGACCTGCGCGCGGCTCAAGCCGCACTGTAAGGTTCCGCCGAAATGTTTGTGAACAACACGGAGGAACCAGTTCGATAGAGAATGTTGGCATGCTCATCACTCTCAGGTATCAGTACACATTGTCCAACGTGGGCCATAGCAATCGACAACCAGCAGCAGTGCTGGATGATCATGATCATTCCGTGGGAAAAGTCCGCCGTTCAATCGATCTCGACTGTAGCCGCAATTTCCAGGAGTGCAGCGCTTGCTTTGTAGTCGTTGGTATGGGGTTGGAACCTGGTACGCGCTCGCAGGCGGTCTCTCTGTTCACTTGATATTCATTCGCTCTCGGCTGCTTGCGCCCGTACTGCTGCTCGTCCGTGTGTTGTGTCTTGTAGGATGGGATGCGGCCAAGTCGACCCCCTCTGGCGGGCGAAACAACTCCGTTACGACAAAGAGCACCGCGCGCAGGCGCACAAGCTCATGTTGGAGATCTGCAAGCGGCTGAAAACGAAGGCGGTGGTGATAGCTGGGGCGATGACAATCTACCAGCGCTTCCTCGCACTAGTATCCTTCACGGACATCAACTTACATGTGAGCGAGGGAGGTGTCTTTCTTGTCGTACTATCTTCCGTTTCTAACACTACACCAAAACGTACCCATCGCAGCATGCCGTCGCGGAGAAAGTGACTTTGAACAGCAGCAGTGCGGTTGTTCTACAACTCGCCGCCAATCAATAGCTGCTGGCATATTGAAGCCGGTGTGTAAGCCCAGGGAGAATAGAAAGAAGTCACGCCACGGGTTGTGCCATAGCTTCTGTGTTTGGTGGTGGGTGCACACATATTCTTTACAGCCCCCGACAGAATGCTATAATAATTGTTGCTGGTGCATTCAAATTTTCGAATGAATATCCGTCAGATTTTAGTTTTCCAACCGAGACTTTCGTGAACCTCACTTTTCACTAGAGTAAACTCTCTCGTTCTATGTAGCTAGCTCTTTGCGTGATATCCCTGATATTGGGCTGCATATTCCCTCTGCGTCAGCATGTGGATAACATATGGTTTGCGTTCCCAGGGAAAATGGCCTGTATCACTACTCTTGGCTGCGAAACTTCGCCGCAACTGTTTGGCTTTAGGAATTACTTCACTCCTACAACAGCAGTAGTACTTGGTGCCAAAACCGCTCGCCTCTGTCAGGTTTCGTGTTCACCCTGTGGGACACATGACCGATAGATGCACCAAATTGTCACAATGCCTGTGCGCAAAACGAGCTACAGTAGATGGGTCGCTGCGTGTTTGGAGTTATGTCCCATCCAATGCCAGTACGCGGGCTATGCCGACCAAGCTGCGGCTCCCGCGACCGTCGTGCAGCAGCGATCTCGCCAGCACTCAAAACTCTGCCGTTGGAACTCGTCTGAGCCGTCGGTCCCTCGCAGTCATTCTCAATTTTTTAACGCGCATACCATCAGACCACCGCGAGGAGTACTTGGCACCTCCAATCAAGTTCCTATTTTCTTTGCGGTGCCCGCCAACACCGAACATTCACTGGTAATATTCATGAAGATTATTGCTGCAAGCATCGAGATCCCAGCTGCTCTCTAGACGAGAGTATTTCCTCCTTCAGGTAGTGTGACCATGTACCACTAGAGGTACCACCACTGTAGGGCGCAAAAAATGCCGTGTATGGATGGACTACTGTATACTAATATTTTTTCTGTTTTGCGTGGGACGGTATTTGTGTCGAATATTTTTTGGTGCCCAAGTTTTTGGAAGACGAGTGGTGTCATCTACTCCATCGCTCGCCATGACCATGGGCTACGATTAGCGTGTCATCTCCAGCTACGCTACATGAAATCATTTGTGAGGTGCACACCTTCGATACTACCGAAAGAGAGAAAAACAAAAATCATTCAGCAGCAAGAATCTGTTCAGAATTGGAAGGTGCGATGGTCGACAAACGCACCGTAGCAACCCGGTCCGACATTAATTCTGCGAGGGGGAGGGGGGTTGTGTGTGTACCATAGTAGTAGAGGAACGTGCCCCGACAGGAACTACTAACTACCAACAAATTAAACGTCTGGCCAATAGCAAAACGATGACCATCACAAACAACAACAACAACAACGACACGTTTGTAGCCTAGAGCATATGGGCCCATGCGTTCGAAACTTCGAAGCTACGGGCATCGCAAGTATTGACATCACGAACAAGACGACGCCATTGCCCTCCGGGTTCCGACTTATCGCAAGGTGGTTGTGGATTTTTTTTTTTTTGTCGCAACGTGCATGAACGTAAGCAACAGAACACATCACCTCGGGTATTAACGCTTTTTCACAAGGAGAAGGGAGGATTCTAGTGATTCTAACTTGCTCTCGGCCCGGGGCTAGTCGAGTACTTTTCACACCCATTTGTGGTATACGTTGTGGGGTGAGACAACTCCAAACAACCGAATTCTACGGACGGTTGAAGTGTGACCACCCACAAGCACTGGGCTCTGTAAGGAACAGAAGAACACCTCGGATATGATTTTTTCAACGGTAGTCAAGACGCCCGTGGGTAACGGAGTCTGGCCTCGAAACCTCGCTGGCTGTTCCTGATTTGTGTGCGTTGTTGTGGTTTTTCGATCAGGACACGGTGGCGGCGTCAGTCTTGCTGGCCAGCAAGGTGGAGGACTTCAAAATCCACATCAAGGACGTCCTCATCGTCACAAACAAAGTCGCCAACTATGCCATCATCGGGCGCTCGGACCCCTCGGAAGTGAGTTTAGAAATAGCGCCCACTACCGGCAAGAAAGCTTCGGCACCAACCTGTGGACGAGATGAGACCGGCGAGAAACTAACACGACCAGTTCACTTGCATCGCAGTGCTACCGAGGACGGCTTCTTTCCGTTGTTGAGCTTCTCGAAGTACTGTCAACCGTTGAGATACATGATAATCGTTAGCCGCACCCGGAGTCGTTCATTTCCCCTCCTCCGCGGCCCCATGCCTCGATTGCCAGGCGTACAAAAGATTCAAAACCCGGGTGGTCAAAGTCGAGAACAAGATTATGAGTGCACTGGGGTTCGACTTCTTGATCGAGCACGCCTACCCGCACGCCAACGACCTGATCCTGCACTTTCAAAGAATGGGTGAGGGACGGGCTGCCGCGTCTAATAGGTTGTGTGTCGAGATTTGGGGGAGAGGGAAAGGGGCTGGGGAACACACTCTATTAGCGTCTTGGGTGTACGACACTCCTCGATATCAAGTGGTCGGGTTGATCCTGTCTGTCGGTGACCCCTTGAGCCTTGTAGAGTGGTGAAAGAAGCGGTTGAGGTTTGTCCGATCTCGACACAAGAAGAGCAAAACGTGACAAGTAGGTGCTCACCACCGCTGAATAGGAGCTCGACCGACCAACCACACCGGCGTTTCCAAGTGTCCTGTGTTAGAGACGTGGTTTTCGCCTTTTCCGCGTCTGGGGCCGCATGCCGGGACTATCGCGTGAGATATCGTGCGATACCCACAGCCATACCATGGTCTTATGCCTCAAAACCGCCTTTCCCTAACCGGCCCTAAAGGCTGGGTACGGGAAAACATGGGGGCCTTGATCTCCAAGGGCTGCTGCCACCTGCTAAGTCAGAGGTGCGTTATTCAAGCGTGCGGGGGTACAGCTCAGCACGGGGTCGCGATGTACGCTGGCGGTATACTGTGGTGGGTAGAATATCGAGATCGGCGCGTAACGTTGCGCGAACCCTGAGAACGGCGTGAAACTAACAGCTGTGGACGGACTATGGGACAATGGTCGTGCGCCGCAGGTTGCGGTTTATTTGGACGAGCGCAGGGGCATCATTCGCATCCGAAAAGCATGACCAGCAGGGGTGCCTGGTCAAGACCAAATTCGCACGAGGTTCACAGTTGTCCTCCAGCGCGTCGATGTTTTGGTGGTCCGTCCCAACCCCAAGAGCTTTCCGCCCATCTCCGCCAGCCCCCACATTTTTTGACGCATATGGCGGGGGTCGTATTGTCTGAGTTTCTGACACACGCACTCCCACCTGCGTTACTTGATTCCTCCCACAGTTTGAAGTGGACGATGTGCCTCGAGTACCCCCCGACCTTCCGCGCGAGGCTAGCGACGTACCTATCCCTGCTTGTCAACAACGTTCCGCCGCCACAGTCGGGCGAGTGGACGGAGGTTCTGCAGTTCAAGGACCCCGGCCAACTCGAGCGTGAGCCTGACTCTCCCCTGCCACTCGTGCAGAAATTTTCAAAACTTGTTTGCTAGAACGATGCTCTCGCATTGGTGTTTGATTGGCTTTTGTGCGCATGGTTTCAACCGAGGCTTAGATGTCGTTGGACAACTGTGCTTACCGTGGGAGTCGTCTGCGGCCGAGTCGGAGCGCTTGACGCAAATACGAGCCCAAGTTGCATAGCCCAAAACCTCGGGATCAAACGAGCATCGTTTATCGCAGTTCGTTTTTTTTGTTTCAACGGGCGCTATGTTTCGAACGAAACGTATGAAGGCGAGGAAGTAGGCGCTTTTTCGGTATGGCAAACCAACCTCCAATTTTGCAGTTGAGGCTCAGCCCCATGCTGAACTACGAACAAGGCCGCGCCATTGTGAATATAGCTGGGTAGCAACGGTTCGGGAAGAGTGGCCCCGCTCGCGGACTTGTCAGACCTGAAATAGGTGTCTTCCTGGTTGGGTGATCCTTGGATGGTCCCTGGTATTAGGCAAGCAGCCCATTCATCGCACGGATTTTTCATTCAATAGGGCAAAATGCAGATATCGGGGGAGAACTCGCTTCATTTTTTCCGCTGCAACTGCTGTGTGTCGATGCTGAACAGGAGCGACGGAAGAATGGCTGGAAACCTTGGACAACGACACAGGCAAATCGGGCACCAAGATCACTCGGCACCGCGTGACGAAGGCATTAGCTAAGCAGAGAGACGACGCACAACGGAGAAAGAGGATAGCTTCGGCGCTAGGCCGACCCTCGATGACGACGAACAAGACGGTTGATGGACGGCGGCCGTCGATGCCTCCACCGCCGCCGCCGAAGGTATTGCTATTGCACAGTCGTGGGGCTACTGGCGGTGGTTTGACGTGCGGCAAGGTCTCGACCAAGGATGGTTCTTCATGCAAGGGCCAGCAGCGCGCATCGTACTCGAGCAAACCACCCACGCACGCATCGACTAGCAAGAGAAAACGAATGGAGGCTGGCGCTGGCACTGCGAGCAACACCGCGGAGAAGCGACCTCGTCCGCGACCACCACTGCCCCGGGGGGTGCTCCCGAACAACGCTAGGTCGAGCTCATCTTGGACTTCGAAGTCCGGACCGCCTGCTACCACGACCCAGCCGAAGGCGTGTACACCCCGGCCGCCAAGCACGCTCAAGCCCCGCCTGCCCAACACACCTAAGCCCCGCCCGCCGAACACGCCTAAGCCCCGCCCGCCGAACACACCTAAGCCCCGCCCGCCCACCACACCCCGGCCGCCAAACATGCCCAAGCCACTGGGGAGGTCTACGCCGCTGCCACCCAACACGCCCAAGCCGAAGAAGTCGTTCACCCCCCCGCCCCCAAACGCCCCCAAGCTACCGGTGACTCTCGCAGCTAGGCCACCAAGCACGCACAAGCCCCGGCCACCCACCACGCCAAAGCCCCGGCAACCAAGCACGCCTAACCTGGTCAAGAAGCCAGCACCCCGGCCGCCGACCACCCCCAAGCCGCTTCAGACGTCTACACCCCTGCCGGTAACCACGACCATCGGTCTGGAGTCGCTCACACCCCGACTGCCATGCACGCCTAACCTGGTCAAGAAGCCAACGCCCCGGCCGCCGACCACCCCCAAGCCGCTTCAGACGTCTAAACCCCTGACGGTATCCACGATCAAGGGTCTGGAATCGCTCACACACCGACCGCCGAGCACCCCCAAGCCGATAAGGATGCCCATCACACCCCCGCCGCCATGCACGCCGAAGTCACTGACGTCGTCTGCGCCCCTGCCGGTAAGCACGCTAATGCTCCCGGTGACTCCTACACCCCGAACACCAAGCGCCCCCGAGCCGAAGTCTGAGCCCACATCCTGCACATGGCCGAAGCCGCCCTCGATGCCTAAGGGGACCAACTCTGTGGCCCCGGCCGGCTCTTCTCGCCTTCCCTCCTACGGCAAAGCACCAAGGTCACCCTCGACGGCCCGCCCAAGCCCCCTCGCCAAAGCCCCACCGGCGACGAAGCCGAGACCTCTGCCATGCCCGAGCCTCCCGTCGAAGACTCACCTTAGCCGACCCGACAGCATTGGTGCCTCTGCGTTGACGAAGACTGGCCGCGCTCAAGACTCTGCCGATGGCAGGCAGCAGTGCAACGGCGGGAGCAGTCAGATGGCTTTCAAAGCGAAGGAGGATGCATGCATGGAATCTAACTGTGACGCTGATTCGATACGAGGCGGTGGTCTCGACGGCAAGGCCATGGATAGAAGGGAGTCCGGGATATTGGCACAGGATGGTCGCGACAACAGGAAGCGGTCCCGTGACGAAATTACGGAGGATACCTCGGCCGCAACGCAGGGTAGCGGGGGCAAGAGACCTAAGACAGGCAGCGACTCGGAGGGTGCATCAGGTTCCGAAGGTGATTCGACGTCAACTTCATCTCCTGGGAAGGCGGACGGCACAGACGATGACGAGATTGAGGAGGGAGAAATTGTCGAGATGCCTAGTCGGCCGGTGTTCGAGCGAGCATGCGCTGCTTAGGGGCCCCTTGAACCCGCGAGCGCCACCTGCCGCGCGGGGTGAAACTGTGCAACAGTTCTGTAGATTTAGATATACTGTAAAATTTCGACCAGGACGGTGTCGAACAGCGAGAAACAACCCAAAAACGTAGAATATTGTACACGTATTTAGTAGAAGAATTGCGGACGAAACTGTTGAGGAAGAGAGATGAATGGGCTATGCTGTAGTTCCCAAGAGTGCATTGAGTGAGGTGGATGGTGGTCATTGTCTTGGGTACGGCCGTTCGTGCGGCGGGGAAAAACATGTCCCTGGTCCCGGCAAGCGTTGCCGCACGGCCGTTTCTACGAACGTCACATTACGTTTTCTTCTTCCTCGTCACACGTACTCACGTGAAATAAGACCGGCCGTGAAGGCATTCGCTCACCATGCGGCAGCGAGTAGCACGCAATCCTCGCGCCGAACGCTGAAAACTCGTAACGAGTAGCGCTTTGGCCGGTGCCCCGCTGCAATGAGCTCCTCAAGTGTTGTCCCTCATTCTCTCTCTCTCTCTCTCTCTCTCCTTCTTCTTCCTACCCCCCAAAAACAAGAAAATAAAATAGAAATTGTGCACTCCGTGGGGGTCCCGATATACGGCGATATCAGCAAGGCGGTTGTCCGATCTAAGACGACTGCAACTGGCACCAGTCTGACCCGGTATTAGACGGTGTCGGCAATACAGTACCCAGGTTGGACGCCAATTGCGAGGTGGCACCTATTTATCAAACGCAAGCTCCATTAAAGCTGGCATTAATTCGGTGACCACAGTCACGTACACCCTGTTTGGGTACGCATGCCTTTCTGTAATGAAAGGGGCCCCGGGAAGTGAGGAACACAAGGAGAGATAATGAGCGTGCCCTTGTGCACATGAGCGAGAAATGCCGTGAGCAATTTTCTCCGGTTTTCTCGCCGGTATTCACGGCGGCAGCGTCCAGTGGTCAGCTTTGATTACTGATTGTTGTATATCCCTGGTCGATTCTTTATATACCGTTGCTTGTTTTTATGGGCTACAAGATCTTGAAGGATTCTTGATTTCCGATATTCCTCTGTTGCTTCCGCTACTTTCTCAGTGTCGTAAGACCACGTCATGTGTCTCTGGGTGTGTCGACACCTCCAACTACTCGTCATGTCCAGTTGAGCGTAACACGTTGATGCATGCAATAGAATCAACAGCAAACAACAGGAAGGAGTGTGTCGCTGTCAATAATATGTTCTACCCCTCCCCATGATTGACGACCAAAGCCCCCAAAAGCGTGAACGGTGCAAAGCGCCGAAAAAACGCGCAGCACACAAAAGCTGAAGACAAGGTGGTCGCCGGGGGCACGCCCCGCGCGGGGGGGGGGGGGGGGGGGGTACTCATAGTCGTGCATGCCGTAGTCGTTTGACCATTGACCTCGCATCCCTACAAAGCCGGGACGGAGCACGCCGGGTTCTCACCGGACCAGGCTCTCACATCACCAAGCGCGAAGCGCCGTGAGGTATTTGGCGAGTCGCATGAAGGGTGAGCTGCATCCTGCAAAGGGTGTTCGGCATCTTGTGCTTACTTCCTTGCGTACGGATGACAGCTACGTATGACTTAATATATTTTCTGGTGCTTTCACTTCCAGAGACAGTTGTAAGCACGGTGTAACTGCCTCGAGGAAGCTTGACCATTTTAACACAACGTGGTGCGATCATCCCCCGTTGCGCGGAGTGAGGTTTCTCCACCCCGCACAACATGATCTACTCGACCACCATTATGGTTACCGCCAAAAAAAAAACCGAGGTAAAAAAAAAAAAACGGTAACCTGGTTGCCGAGTTCACTAAGTGAATTGGCTTGTTTTACAACGTCGTTGCCAAGCGACGAAAACCCAATCCCGATGGCAAACACCGAGTGGGGGGCTTGTTTTACAACGTCGTTGCCAAGCGACGAAAACCCAAACCCCGATGGCAAACACCGGGGGGGGCGCGCGGGGGGGGGGGCGGGGTACTCATAATCGTGCATGCCGTAATCCTTAAACCATTGACCTCCCATCCCTACAAAGCCGGGACGGAGCACGCCGGGTTCTCACCGGACCAGGCTCGCGCGGGGGGGGGGGGGGGGAAAATTTCCAAAAAAGGGTCCCCAAAAAAGGTCCCCCTTTTAACCAAAAAAAAGGGGCCAAAAACGCCATTTTTTGCCACCCCCCAAATTTGTTTTTCCTTGCCCCAACCCAAACAAAAGGGTTAAAAAACCCCCCCGACCCT